CAAATCAATCCTTGATAAATTAGCAATTCACAAAGTTAAATTTATATAACAAAATAACAGCCTATAGAATTTATGACTTTTAGAACCATGTTCTCCATACCACGTAAATGCCGACAAGTTTGCAATACCTATCTATATGTGATATCTAGCGCAGCACATCATGCCCATTACCAAGAATTACACATCTAAATTCATTTCTCTTATGTTTCATGCATGATCATGAACTTGAAGTCCTTCTGAATACTATAGCTTGCAAACTCCCTATCCATCAAACTTGTTATAAACCCAATTTTCAAATAAGTTTGGTATTGTGTGATAGAGCGTATTGGAGGTGTACCAGAGGTATTTTTAGTAGTTAAATCATGTGTACTTAATTAATTTTATATTTTAATTTAAATATTAAAATGAACTTAAATTATAAGGTATACTTTATTAATTTTAAGGTTCGTTCAACAAGCACTCAAAATAAAAACCTTTATGATCTACCATCTAATTCATACAAATATGAAGGTAAACTCCAAATTCGGAGTTTACAGAAATTATAAAAGACCAAAGAAAACAAAAAGATTGATAAGCTGACAGTATTTTATTTGTTGGAATATGTAGGTTCGTGCCCAATTCAATGGTTCATAATAGAGACCGAATGTATAAACCAACTGAGGACTAAATTTGTATTTTTAAATTTGGTCAAAACTAAGGACTAGATGTCCAAAGTTTAGCGATATTATAATTAGTATTATTAATTTGCAAAAATAATTATTGACCGGACAAGTGTCCGAGCATTGTGAAGGGTAGGAGATCTTTCCACGTACCCCTGCGAGTGTTTAAAGGTGCACGTCAACTTAATGATTGAGTAAAAAAGAGAAAAAACTTTAATTATTATTAGAATAATAGGGAATCATTCTGGTAATATCCTCTCTTTTCGTTTGACATTTACGCCCCCTCTCCCCTTCTAAAGTCTACACATTTATTTGGTATTTTGTTTAGACCTTTTTGCCTCTCTCTTTTTTTGCATTTTCTAACTTCAAACTCGTGATTTATTATGATTGACCAACAAAACAAGAGACGTCCGCTTTTAAAAATCTCTGCCGCTCTGTTTTGGGAGATACTATACGATTATGTGATATATTTTGTATATATGTTATAATATAAATGTTTATTTAAAAAAAAAAAGAAAAATAAATTATGTCGTATACTCATATTATAATACGTGTACAATATATATCACGTAATTATACTATCGTAATATTCGATAATTTGTCATGCTCTGGGGTGTGCGCGCTTTCCTTTATTTGGTAACTTACTGCTTAGAGTGAATGGCATTGTTTAGGATTTAGGGTTTTTGTCTTGGCTGTGTAATTTGCTTGTTGCAATATTATTATTGGGACAGTTTTTAAAATATTTTATTTTTGTGATGGCAGTGCAAAGATTGTGTAAAAGCCGGAAGCCATAAATTAACAAGCAGATATTAATGCTTGCTTAGTGTTAGTGCTCATGCATGCATATTATATTCTGAAAGCAAATTCTTATTATATCCCATCGCATAATGCTTTTGTTGTTGTTGTCGTCGTCGTCCAACCTTGACACACCAACAAAAACATGTTAAATGTCAATTGGTTGGAACACATATCATATTCGATCCTGCTATCTAGCTTGTATTCTTATTATTATATATCACTTGAAAGGATTCTTCCCTCACAGATTAGATTGGTGGTTATGTCGACTTCACCTCCTCCAATCAGACCAGATAGAACTAGAATCTCATCGTAAAGGCTTAGGCAGGCAAGCATACACTGACTGAGTTCAGATCAGATAGAATTTTGTTGGTATTGCACAACTGGTACACGTCTAATCAAAAGCCCACCCTAAAAATGCCCACAAAGTTGGCCTTACCTAACCTCATTATTTGTTTTCTGGACCATGCATTGTCACTTCTATGGATTTATTTTAACTGCTATATAAACTTACATTTTGTATACGTAACATATGGGAGGGTCAAGATTAATATTATTGATGTTTTCTCATAATTTTGCCTATATAAGGTTGTTTAGACGATCTCTTAAATTCATATTTATATTAATAATTACTCTCTTTCCTCGTTTCAATATATTCGCAAGATGATTTTTTTCGCAAAAATATATCAAATATCATGTGCCTTTCAAAGCTTTAAATTGATGTAGCCCAGAAGAATTCAAAAGAGTTTTGTCTTTTAACATGTATCTTAGTCGTACGAAATGAAGTACCATTTAGTCGGTGTTTTGGATGATGAATTGGCTTCTTCCTCCTATAATAAAACCTAGCTAGCTACATACCTATATACATCAAAGAGCTTTATGCAATTGGATAAGGAAAGCCAGTAAACGAAGGTTCATGGGAATTAATATATGATATGATGCTGACCAGCTCCAACAATTTTAAAATGAAGGGAGTTTCACTAAAACACCCAAAATGAGGCTTGAAATTATAAAAAAAACTCAACACTCAACACACTTTATAAACACATCCAAAACTCATCATTACACACACTCAAAATTCATTTATAAACACACTCAAAAAATATACAATTGTTTATTTAGGGTGTGTTTCTATGTTTAAATAGTGTTTGGATTTTTTTTATAAATACATGTCTAGGATTGAGTTTATTTATAAATTTGTATAAAATGAATTAGTAAATAGAGCCAGCCACGGACAAAATAACAAAGGATTTAATTTGGAAGAAATGAGAAACATGAATACAAACAAACTTACTTTTTTAGGGCAAAGGTTCAATATAGCATAGGAGAAGAGACTGTTATACTTTACAAAATGCAGCATTTCTAGGTCTTGACAACTCCGAGCTTCTCCAAGGAAACCCGGATATTGTCACAGTTGTTGGAACAACAACAATGAGTGACTAATAAAAATTATTATATGTATATATCAACAATATATCAATGTCAACGAAATTGAATTTACAACATACTATAATTTGAAATACAGTAAATAATAAATGAACTGACTTGGATTCGAGATAGAGACTTGTAGATTTGATGCAATGTGCTAAATACAGTAATTTCACTCATTCTTGGTGCTTGAAGTTCTATAGATGACTATCTCCCATGATTCAATTATATGTATTCTAAGCCCTAACACTAGGACTTAGAATTTGACGAACTTGTTTTCCTCTCAGACAAGATGGATGTATTTGTAGAATGTTTTTTTTTTCTTTCTGTTTTTGATGAATGAAGCTTTATTTTATTCAAATAAACTTCTGAAACTTTATCAGTAGAGTCACAACTGTTAGAAAACAATTAATTAAACTAATCTGAATTAATATAAAAAAATTCGAAACTAAAAAATAATTTAAATCTAAATTTTTCCATTTGCTAAGTGTGCCACATTTATAAAGACTTTACTCTTTCTTATTTCTACAAATATGAGACAAATGTCTTAAATTTAATTCAAACTTCCCACAGCAGCTGCCACAGCCTTCACCAGTCTGGACAATGTCGGGGCTGTCAAGGGCCAGGACATCTGATTCTGATAGAGGGTAGTTTCGGTTGGTCTGGAGTTGACTGATTGCATTGCTAGCAACTCCATTGAGTATTACACTTTCGTGCAGCCGACCAAGCAAGCAATCATCATAGACTGTATCCCCGCATTCTCCTCCAGCAGCAATAACAATAGTCAGTTGAAAGTTGATCAGCCGCCGCAGTAACAATCTATTCTCCGGTCTTCTTATCATTAACTGAACCTCATTGGTCATTGCCAAGAAAGTAGCAACCTCATTTTTGGGTTAATTTCTAGACCATGCCAAGCAAGCACAACCCAACTAATGTCGAAGGGGATTCCTCAGCCCACGTTTAGCGGCCAAATCCGAAGCCAACACGCTCATGTTTCTTGGGTATTGTCAAATTGAGCTTTTTCTCTTTTTAGTTTTGGGTCTTAGGAAGACCATTACATGTGGATTTAGATTTGTGTTCGCTTCGTCATCCTCCCTTTAAATACGCAACTCAATATTATTATTATTATTCTTATTCTTCTCTTATATCATTATTCAAGTATGATCAGATGAGTTAAAGACTAATTTAAGTCTACAATTATTACCCGAATAAATTTTTTAATTTATTTGTTATCAACCTCAAAAAATCAATTGAAAATAGGTCTAAAAGGAGAAAGACGACAAAAAAGAAAAGAAAAAGAACAACTGCAGATAATAAGTTAACAATGACAACCAAAGGAAAAATGTGCAAAATTTGTGTGCACATCAATATCATGGATCCCAATGAATGATTGCGTAGTGCCGTGCATAAGGCCAAGATGGGTGACGCGTGATATAAACATAACTCGGCGCTTTGAAGCTTTTATCGGCCTTCAGCAACGGTGGGTGGTGGTGGCCCGAACCAATCATCTTTGAAATCAAGTAATTGAGTGCCAATCATGGCGTAATATACCAGTAACTTGTAACGGTGGGTGGTAGTGGCCCCTTTATTTATCAAAATACCAGTAACTTGTAACTTGTAAATTGCAGCTGGGAAAATTCAACACCACGCGAAAGCCGTTCACACTTTGTGACTTCAACGAGAAGAAGCTCAAGCTTTTATTTACATAAGTCCTCTCTCTAAATTGATAAAAATAAATAAAGAGGATGGATTTATGTTGGAATTTTATTTTCATGCGTATAAAATATATGAAAAAAGAAAGAATCTGACGCAATGAGAAAGGGATGGACCCCGCTTCTACAGCAGAGATTCCTGGGTTGGATTAATATAAGAAAATAAAAGCAAAAAAAAAAAAAAAGACATTGAAATGACCAAAAAGCCCTTGAAGGGCGGTATTCTCCGGCAGTAATGATGCGTACTACGTAGTTTCCCAACGGTCAACAATCAACGTTGTCCAAACTCTAGGATATATTTATTACTTAAATTAATGAAAGCGTACAGACGGCCGTGGCGGGTTACATCAAAAATCCACCGTCTTCTTCTAAGCGCAAGGTAAGGCCGGTCTTTGTTTCCCTTTTAAGGCCTTCCCTTTGCAATCAAACGCATCAGTTTTGTCTTTGACATTTCCCTTAGCCGCCTCCCTCACTGTTCAGGTTTGGTTCTTTCACTATAAATTCAGGTGCTTTTCTTGTTTCCTGATATCTGATGCTAAGCCACTTGTGTAATTTAGTATTTTGTTTGGATTTTCTTTGAAGCTGTCTTGCTGTTTGCGTAGAGCTACCAAATGTTGGGTTTTTTTACTGTGAGCTTGTGATTTTGTGAATTGGATCTCAGGCAATTCAGTAAAAGTTTGGAAATTTTGGTGCTTGGAGATCGTGGGATTGGTTTTTGGGCAACTTTACCACCTGGGTTTTAATTTGTTTCGCAATTGTGAACTGGGTACTGATACTGAAGGCTTTTGATTGAATTTTTGTGGACCCATCAAGCTATATGGTATATGGAACCAACCGTTTTTTATGACATCCAACTCAATCATCACCCCTTTGAGGCTTTGTCTATTAAAGGTTTCAACTAGTGTGTCATGAATTGAGGCTCGAATTGTTCATTTCAGTGATTGTTACACAATAAACTTATATATTTGGAGCAATTTGAAGTCGTGATATACAAGTAACATTACTGGCCAAAAAGAAAGTATCATTATCTCCGCTCAGCTCCTTTCTTGTCCGGGATTCTCTCTTTTGTCAATCTCGTGAACTGGGTTCTGTAGATGAATTTGAAAGTGACGGTCGAACACTAATTTGCATATCCAGGGCGATCAGAACGGTTGAACTTGAAACTAGTGAGCTACTTGAGGGCGGTGAGACGAATACAAGAGTACAGAGATGTTTCATCATCTTTTCATTCAGAAAATGGAAATTGAACACATTATCCCGTTAAGAACGGCCATCACTATGTTGAGTCTGTTGCTTCTGGTGAAATTGCCAGCAATCTCTTCCTCTGAGTTTGTTATACAGTCCAAGGTTTGCAGTGATCACATTGCCTATACAAAGTTTTATGGTCATGAACTGTATTACATAAATGGGAATTCAGTAGAGAAAGCTTTATTCTGTACGGCACTTGAGACATACTATGCAAATGGTTGCATTTTGGAGGGCTACCTTGGCATTAACCATTGTGTATCAGACCTTTCACTAGGTATGGATTGATATTATATATATGTTGCTTGTGTTTCTTGTTTAGACCATTGTTAAGTGTTGCAGCTTTTGCAGTTGGTTTTCGCTTGAGGACAGGAAGGAAACTTTTGCAAAAGGAGTCAAGGGATAAATCCACGTCCTATGATAGAGAAGAAAAGAACGGCGTTGCATCTGTATCCATGACCAAAAAAGTTGGAATGGCAGTAGGTGCAATGTCTTTGTTATGTTGTGTTTTCATGTGTCCCTGCTTTTATAAGAAAAGGAGAGAAGCTGCTCACAAAGTTCTTGCTAAGGACCCAAATTCAAGTTAGTCTCTCATATCTGCCTGTCTGTGTACCCGAAATCAATAATTATAGGTTTTCAGGTTGCTGGAGATGAGAACCACCAATTATATTCCAGTTTAACATTTAAATACATTCATCCTATATTAGACTAAAATTCTTTCAAACTTGTCCAAATTGTTTTATTTGCAATTCTGCAAATAATTGAATTTTTGTTGCCACTGACTAGTCTATTCTATATTGGTTGTTTCCTCATTATGATTTTGTTCTTTCAATTTTTTTTGGTTAAACTAAAACTGGTTGTCCTCTTGCAGTGGATTCAGCTTCTTCTTTTGAAGTGAATTCTGCTCCTGAAAAGATCCCGGCTAGTCCGCTTCGTGTGCCACCTAGTCCTAGATTTTCAATTTCTCCAAAACTCAGTAGACTTGGATCGGTACATCTCAGTTTGAGTCAGATTGCCAAAGCAACCCGCAACTTCTCTCAATCACAACAAGTAGGTGAAGGAGGTTTTGGAACTGTCTACAAAGCCAGGCTAGACGATGGCCAAGTGGTTTCTATAAAACGAGCTAAGAAGGTATAATAGATCATAATCTTTTTTTGTGGGTACTCAATGAAAGATTGGTCATTTCCGGTTAGTTTATGAAAGGAAATACTATCTTGGTGACATGCTAGGTAGTAAAAAACATGTACCACTACTGAACTGAGGCTCTTTCAATTGGCTATAATTGATACAATTCAGTGGCCTCTTGGTAATTGGTAGCTCATTCTTTAATTTTGCAAGTAAAATTTGTTGTTCTGTTATATTTGAAAATGAAAAAGTTTTTTATGTTAACTTTTTGAGGAATCTGGGGCAATCAGAAAAATCACAATTAATAAGTATTCCATAATTAGATTCTTCAGTTGCCCAAATAGTGATTGGATTAATTGTGCATTCTGGGTTCAATTAGGAAAGTAGCATGCTAAAGTTAAATGTATGTGACATGGTTCAAAATTTCAACATCAAAGTAGGCTTCGTCGTAGAATTTATGCATAGCATAATTTGTTATGGACTTACTAGTTTTCCATGTTGCCATCGAACATTTGAGTGGCTTTATAAGGAAGTTTTCTGTTGTCATGGCAGTTATTCGATAAATGAATGCTATTTTGTTAACATGGGAATTTTGTCATAGGAACACTTTGAGAATTTGGAAACTGAATTCAGTAGTGAAGTTGAACTTCTGGCCAAAATTGATCATCGGAATCTTGTAAAGCTACTAGGTTATGTTGATGAAGGAAATGAGCGTCTTATCATTACAGAGTATGTGCCAAATGGTACTCTTAGAGAACATTTGGATGGTAAGCTTAGTTAAAGCACCGAAATATCCAAAATTTAATCTATAAATTATGCTGTCATAAACAATTATGCTACTATACTGCCAGGTCAGCACGGGAAAATCCTAGAGTTCAACCAGCGACTTGAAATTGCTATTGATGTTGCTCATGCCTTAACCTATCTTCATCTATATGCAGGTAACTAAAATACTATTGCTAGAACTTTAAAGACCCACTGGTCTTTTATTCATTTGTTTAGTTGTCTGGTTAGAGATGAAGAATTGATTTTCTTTGGTCAATCTGATTCGTGCTTAATCTGGTATTCATATCACGACAGAAAAGCAAATCATTCATCGAGATGTGAAGTCGTCCAACATTCTTCTGACAGAAAGCATGAGAGCCAAAGTGGCTGATTTCGGATTTGCAAGGCTTGGTCCGGTGGACTCGGAACAGACACACATTTCAACCAAAGTGAAAGGAACTGTCGGTTACCTCGACCCCGAGTATATGAAAACCTATCAACTCACCCCCAAGAGTGATGTTTACTCATTTGGGATATTACTTATAGAAATCATAACTGGCCGTCGTCCAGTGGAGTTGAAAAGATCTGTTGAAGAGCGGGTGACACTCAGATGGGTAACAATCTTCTTCTGTTCCCTTGATAAGTAATTGATTTTGTAGCATATCTTTAGGAGTTAGAACATGGAAGAACATGCATGCTGCAGAACTCTCCTAATACTTTCAGTTATGTCTGTTGCTAGATAACCCTTCCATCCAGATTAAATTCAAACTATAGCTGTTTATAACTTTATGTAAGGTGTAACATTCCGCAGGCCTTCAAGAAGCTGAATGAAGGAAGGATGGTGGAATTGGTTGATCCTGCATTGGGGGAAGTTGTAGATGCAGAGGTAGTGGTGAAAATTTTTGATTTGGCTATCCAGTGTGCTGCCCCCATTCGAGCTGATAGGCCAGACATGAAATCAGTGGGAGAGCAGTTGTGGACAATAAGAGCAGAGTATCTTAGGAGTGTCAAGAAAGGCTAGTGGTATAATACGAGAGGCACCTCCTTCCCTCAAACTTGCCCTGTAAGAACGAATTTGGTCACAGACAAAAGTTTGCTTTTTCGTGTAGGCCTCTTTGTCGACATCTTTTTTTAACTCTTGAACATGCATACATGTGGATGTCTAATATACCTTTTTTAAAACTAGTTATTGTAAAACAACGACTTGCCTTGAGGAGCATAAAGGCAAACACATTTGCAGTTTTTGAATGTTGATATCACTCGGAAAAAGAGATTCAGAATTCAGCAACAATGGATTCAGGATTTGGGCTGGAATTACGACACAAAGCCTAGTTACTTAGTTTCTCATTGTTTTTTTGTCTTGACCAAGAGTGACAAAACGGTGATCATAAATCAACTGAGTTTTACCAGCCTTCCTGTTTGACCATGCAAACTTTCTTATAAATGTTTTCGTCTGATTTTCTGGGGTTCGGCGTGTTGGCTGGTTGTCACCTTTTTCCATTAATTTCCTGGCAAATTCGATGATCTAGCTCCTCTCTCTCTATAGCAATAGAAGCAAGTTCCCAATCTAGTTCCAACCTTTTCATTTTCACCAGAGTTTTTGACATGATTTTTAAGTATTGGAAAGGGGTTATGTGTAGCGGTAATCTTTTATTATTATTCGAGTGTGGGTTCAACCATTTAGTTTGAAAAATCAACTTGAAGTTAAAACTGTAAAGACCAGCCCTTCTAAACTCCATAGTAAATATAACGTGGCTCACTTGCACCCTTTTCTGACGCTTCTAAAGAAGACAACTTTTTCAGCCAAAATTCTCAACTGAATAATATGGTACTTTCATCGGAGAGCAAAAATGTCATGGTTCACAGTTCATCATGAGAGAATTGCGTACCTCATTAAGCCATGTTATATACTATAGGGTTAATAATATTTATAGGGAAGTGCTAGCAACCTTCTCTCTATCTTTCTCTTTTGGACCTTCTCTCTTTTTCTCATGACAAGTCACTTTCTTTACACTTAAAACAATGGGACATTTTGGAAAAAGCAAAAAGAGAGAAAAATTTTAAAACAAGCAAAAATGGACAAAAATGCCCTTATTTATTTTTAGATTTCCTAAGGAATCCAATATATTTGCATGTCTTTGATTTGAAAGTTGAGTGGTTTTTTTGTCTTTTTTGAAAAAGCTTTGGCTTTTTCCAAAAGTGAAAATTTTTTTGTCTAAAACCTAAAAAACCTTAAAAGACAATGTCATTAATGCATCATACAAACTAATTTTTGTTTTCTAAGTTTACTCTTATTAAATGTATTAATTTTTTTTTTTTAATAACAAGCTAATTTTTTTTTTCAACTTTCTTACCACCTTGTTAAAAAATTAAATAAGAAAATAAAAATTAAAGGTTTTTTTTTTCCCAAAGAAAACGTGTGTTTTGTTAAAAACAAAATAAAGATGATAACATCTTGAAACAAACTTTATTTTTAAAGAAAAAAATTGACGTTTTTTAATTATATAAAATTATTATTTAATTTTTAATAATGTGCTAAAGAAGTTGGAACAAAATATGAATAAATTGAAGGAAATATAAAAGCCAATACATTTTAAAAGGTTAAACTTGGAAAACAAAAACTAACTTGTGTGATGCATTAATGACATTGTTTTTAGTGTAAGGAAAATGAAACTTGTCATGAGGAGAAGGGAGAAGGTCCAAAAGAGAAGGTTAGAAAGAAGGTTGCTAGCATTCCTCATATTTATATTCAGATACCTAAACTAGTTATCCCTAGTTCTTAAGCTCTGGACTCCATGAATAATTTGGAAGATAATGATACTGGACTCGTCATGATTTGATACCGCGGCGCAGATACTGAGAGTCGCAGGTTGAATAAGACCATATACAAAATCTTTTCTTCAAGGGAAACTACAAAGCTAGGCTGAAATCCGCTAAAAGAGTTTGGCCAGAGAAGCCAGCCGGAATCTTAATCTTTTCCACCTGCTGTTTACCAGCGTAGGGTTCAAGCTCAATATATGTTCTGGCATGAAGTCGTGCCTTGTCAATATACCCACAACAGGAGATCTCTGCAATTGACCAGCATAGTTATTACAAGAGATCAGTAAGAAAACTGTGAGAAGTATTAAAAAGAACGTGTAAACAAATACAGAAGCTATTGTAGATACTGAGCACTAACTACATAACGGCATAACAGCATACACATACGATACAGAAAGCACTGCTGAACAAGTACTTTACTCTTATCAGCCAAAATTTGATATACGAGGTAGAGGCCCATTGAACAGAAATAACAGAAATAGCAAGACCAGTGAATCATATAACAGAGGCAGAGAAGTATTTGGCCCCAGAAAGAATTAAATCTAGATGGATTAATGTATAATTAGCATAAGAAGTGGTGATTCATATATAGCACAACCAATGATGTGAACTACACAAATTTTTGGGCATGCAAGTGCGCTGCAATGCACAACCGATACTTCAGAATACCATATTTTGCAGTTGTAATAAAAGCAAATGTAGAGGACAAAATCACTTACTGTGGAAATCTTCGGTATTACTAGAAGGTGCCTTAAGCCAACTTCTCGGAAAAGTATGAGAGCCTTTGCTAGAGACATTGTCTCCACAACGGTATAAGGTGAAGCATTTGTAAATGGATGTAAGTCTATGAACATTTCCATCTCCTCCTCATTCAATTTTATATCTTCTATCTTGTCACCATTGCCTGAACCCCTCTTGGCAAAATCCTCTGATGAGAACTGCTTAAAGGAATCGGTGCTCGTCGGCACTGGGGTGGACACGAAAGCTTTCTTCTTCAACAATTCAATAAGATGGGCACGGAGGACAATACCAAACAAAACAGGGGATTCAGAAAGCTCATCAATTACAGGGAACCCATTATGCCCTGTAGTTCTGAGAACGTGTACTATATTACCAACCTTCTCAATTCCATAAAATAGTTGTAGTGGCCCTGTTACTACGTCAGCTACTGTCAGCTGTCTCATATATGGTTCAACATGAGCCTCCAGATAGGGAAGACCCTTTGCTTTCATAATCAGATCATATATATTGTCATTGAACGCATCAGCAGTGGTCTTGGAAACAAGAAGAACCACCATTATCAATGGTAGCAATAATAGATTATTGGTTAATTCCAGAATAATTACACATAGAGAGACAGTCATCCTCATGGTTCCACCAAGAAGAGAAGCAGCACCCAACACAGCATAGAGACCATGATTGAGATTCGAGTGTGAACCCACTAACATTCCAACAAAACGCCCATAAGATGCACCAGTCACAATAACAGGTACAAAAAGACCAGCAGGAGCAACAACCCCGTAGCTAAAGATACTTAAGAAAAAACAGGTGACGAAAAATATGATAATTGATGAAAAATGAAACTCAGAATCTGTGTTCTTGCTGAAAAGGTTTCTAATAGCATCATCATTCGTGTTAAATATGAGGCTGGCAAGGTCATTATAGTGATCAGGAGGACATTGGAACTTCTTGAAGTTACCAGACCGTCCAATTGTAGGGCAGGCTTCTGCTGCATCAGCTGGGCAAGGTCGACAAGATGCAAGCCACGGTAATCCAAAGAGAAGACAAGATGTGAATATGGAGATTGTGCAAGCTATAAGTATTTTATAAATGATGCCTCTCCTGGCCAAGGAAAACATCAAGGTGATCACAGTCAGAAAATTATGGTTTTTCACAACACTTTGAAAACACTAATACTGCTTAGACATCACTACGCTAAAACGCTTACTCATTGATGAGATTGTATATTCGGAGAACTTTTGTTAATAGAGAATTATATAAGCTTCCCAATATGCCGCCTACAAACCCAAGGAGAAGCACGGGAGGCACATCCACAATGTGATATGACACACTTTCTGAATAGACATCAAACATTATCAGCCCCCCTGTACCAAATAGCCCACATTTGCCACTTAAACAAACATCAATCAGAGCCCGGAGCACAATTGCAATTACAGCTGTTGTAAAGAAAGCTCTCCACAGAAGGGCACTTCTCCACCTACAGAAAACAAAATCTTGGTTGGATTCAAACAAAGTGCTAATCTCAATTCAATTTTTATCATCTAGTAGTATAGTTTAAGTTGGTTTGTTTTCTTGGGGTTTTCCCCCACCAGTGCATATGCTTAGGTCTTGAATTCCATCTGAGAGTGCTGGAAACTGAGACAAAATATATATGACATATCTGTACAGGATGTTAAAAGTGTTCATAGTTGAGTCTTAAAAGAATCCGTTTTTATTAGTATTATGAACAAAAAGCAAAGACAAAAAGAAACAAGTTTGGATAGAGCGATTGGCGTACCAAGATGCCATCTCTTCAAAAGCAAACAGCACACCACCAACAGGGGAACGGAAAGAGGCAGCAATCCCAGCAGCTGATCCACACGTTACGAGATCCCGACGGTCTCTATCATTCTTGAAATACCGTAACCATTTCCAGGTCAAACCGTACTTCTTTGATCCACCCTGACCCAACAATGATGCAACACAGGCACCAGTATGCACCATCGGCCCTGCCTTTCCAATAAGAAGAGATGATGACACCGCAGAAACACTACCGACAATCTGTACAACGAGGAAAATGGAAATGAAAAAACCAAATTTCTGTTGATATAGTATCTCAATGTATATGATGTCACAAAAAAGAAAATGGTGCTATACCAACTATCAAGTTGCTAAATTTCACACAACCTAAGCAAACCCCATTCACAATTGAAAATGGCAAGAGCAGCTTTACTAAAGCAATTTATACACCATCCAAAAGCACTGAAATCAGAGTCAGTGAGTCACCTTAACAAATAAAGTTCTTATGGAAAATATTCCCGGCGCGTCGACGCCGTTCAGGTATGCCTTCACCTCGGGTATGCCGGAGCCCGCAGCAACCGGCGCCACAAAAGAAGTGATCATAGACGCAAACAGAGTGAGAGCCAAATTGGAGAAGAAGAAGACAATAAACGCCAGCAAAAACCTGTTTTAATATAATAAAGACAAATTAAAAACGAAGAAAGAAAATGTTAAGTAGTTGTGGTGTTTGTTTGGGGTTCTTATCCCCCCAGCTCATTAAAAAAAACGAAGAAAGAAAAAGGAATTAACTTTAAAAATTGAAGTGAAATTTAGAGAACCTGCGCTTCAACATCATGTTGGAGGTGATGACGAACTTAATGCCGGCGATGTTTTCGACGGCGAGGTTGTTGCAAAAACCGATGAGGCCGACGATGAGACCAACAAGAAAACATAAGATCCACTTCATGAATATGTACTGAAAGACTTGCATCTTCCCACGGCTTCTCCAGTCCTGCTTGAAGAACTCGTTCTCCAAAATCTCGTAATCGAGGCTTTCGACGGGGCAGACATTGGCGCCGACCAGAGCAACCTGCGAAGTGGAGTTCGGGGCTGATCGTTGACCCGAGATTAATGGGGCGGTGATGGATTCCGGGTCCTCTCCATTGAGCCAGGCGTTGCTGTTGCCGTTAACTGACATGGTTTTGGGATTGCAGAGGTTCAGTGCCGGCTACCGACGGAGCATTAATTCCGAGTCATAACTCGGAACCAGGAAGTCAGAGGGGGTTTGGAAAATAAATTGGTGAAGTCGATGAGTGATGTGAGAGTAAGGGGTTTAGCTTTGTTGTGTTTTATTGTGTTTGTGAAATTGTGAGCTCTCCCTGTCAATTATATTATCTGGCTTGCAGAATTTGCTAGAGTTGGAGGACTCTCTGCTATTGGTATTGCTACGCTGCTGCCGATTCCATTCCAACATAATAAAATGTTGTCTAAATTACTTTCAAAGTAAAAAATCTTACCATATAATGAATCAATAATTATCCAGATATGCCAAAAACCAATTATCAAGATTTCTTATTAACCAAAAAAATCATTTATGTCTTTTTTACCTTAATAAACTCCTATCAAAATAAATATTTTCTTCTCTTTCTTACGTTTACCCGTGAGAAATACGAGCCGAATTTGAGATAATTTTGTACAATGCGAAAAAAGTGGAGTTGCAAACAATGAGTAAAGTTGAAAACTGAGCAAAACAATGAAACCAAAAGGCTTCTCTTATACTAGTCCAGGCTGTGCACTGATTACTCTCATATTATGGTAGTTCATGTAAATGTTTCCCTAGTTATTTAGGTATATCTACCAGCTTCTCATGTTGCCTGGATTCTTCTGGCCTACCTCCTCCTCTATCTTGAGCGTTATCTAAAAAGTAGGGCAAAATACCACACCTGGCCTAGGATGAGAGGCAGGTAGCAAAAATAAATGTCCCAATCTAAAAAAATATTTCTTTATTCCTTAATTCTCACTTTGGTCAGAAAAAGAAGCATCACTAACTAAAACCAGACCAGGAAACAAATATCAGACAGTCAATCAATCAAAGGAAGCTAGAACTTGAATGTCACGTGCAAAGCGCGTGGTTTGGCTGAGTGTGTGTGAGTGACGCCACGGAGGAGGGCAAAAAATGTAGGCGCGAGCGTAGGAGGTGGAAACTTCGTATGCGTGGGCCCCGGGCCCCGGGCCCCCGACGATGTGGAGTGGAGCCCTTCGAGTGCAGTAAATGATGGACATGATCCTTTGCGATGTCGTTTAGCCCCTTCATTTGTTCACTTATCATTTTGAACATGTGGGGCCCTTCTCAGATCGCATCGCAAATCGCATGCACAAGGCAGAACGTTATTTTCCAAGGATTAGAATACGGAACTCAAATCCAAATCGTTCTTTGATACGTAAGTTGAATTGAATCAATCTATAATAATGCTTTGGTTACGTTTCTTTTTAAAATGTACCAATTGCTCGTTTAATTCCAATTCAAACTCAAAGTTTAATGTGATTATAAGAAGCCAGTTTGAATTCAAACAATTAGATTATTCGTTAGTGTGTGTGACAGTTGAGTACTACGCATAAGTTCTTTTGACTCGAGATTATGGATAAGTTTTGACGTTAGTAGTGAGAGTAGCCAATCTTCCTACAAACTTTTGTTCATCAAAACACAAAAAATAAAAAAAAACAAAAAACCAAAAAAGAAGGAAAGAAAGCTACCGGTCCAAGTTTCCTGTCTTGTGGACCCCTATAAAACTACATATGAACTGTCTCTTCATAGTGGGCCCACATTTGCTTAGCGCTGGGCTATATAGGCATCCTCTTCAGACCCTAAAAAGCTACCAGTCCAATTTTCAGCGCGAAAGCTAGCTACCAGCCAATTTCTTTTTGGACTTGGAAATGTGATATAATGTAGTGAATAAATTGTTGGATATATTTTGATTTTGAAGGTCCATATCGCAGTTGTATTGTATGGGTGGGCTTTGTAGGATATGAATGAACCATCAAGTAATTTCTTCTGAGCCATAAATCAACGGGTTACCAACTAAATGGGTTTCTCCTTCAAATTGGGTCAAAATGTTGGGTTTAGTTTGATTCCACACACTGGGTTCTCTTTTTCCGAGTCATTTTATAGTAAGGGTCTTATCTAAGGACTATATATAAGATCTTATTTTTAACCGTTGAATCAAACTAACTAATTTGATCCAACAGTTAAGAGATAAGGCATCATCTAAGGACCCTCATTGTAGAATTCCACCCCCGTTTCCCTCCTCCTAAACTAATGGGCTGTCCGTGTTGACAGGCCCATTGGGCTTCTTTTTATTTTATTATTATTTTAGAAATATATTTTTCCATTTTTTAATTTCATGGTTGCACTTGCGGGCCGGGGGAGGGGAAGGAAGTGAAATCTTTTTATGGTTTTCATTTTTAAAGTATTAATTTTTCTAAATAAGAATACAAAGTTTATTAAATTGAAATATTGCAGGGATCATGCGAGAAGCAAACAGGTGGCGCAAATATGCTACATGTCAGTACCCTACTTTTTTTCTCATGCAAAAAAACAAACAAACCAAACCAAAAAAAAATAATAATAATGGCACAAGGGTCCAGTTATTTCTTTCCTCTTTTTTCGATAAGTCTTAGCTATTTCTTTTGTTTTTTGTTTTTTAATGACTTGTCGGCGAGGCAAAGCATTTCCTTCACCATCTGAGCCGGAGACAGACAGCCACATTTCTCTCTGTCTCTCTCTGTCTCTCTCTCTCCACCAAAAGACCCCACCGATTTGTCCGCCCAAACCTTCATTACGAAGTTACAATTACAACAAGAAAGAAATTAGGCAAAAAGATTAATAAAACAGCGTTACAAGATAATAAATTACATCAATCTTTTTAAATAAAATCCACCATTACAATTTAGACCCATCTTCTTCTCTAATCTAATTATTGCATTTAATCCAATTTTTCACCCAACTCTCTCAGTCTCTCAGTTTCTCTCTCTCTGACCAACCAAGCACCAACCGACCAAAGCACCCCCAAATCTCGACTGTGCTCTCAATCCAATGGGCTTCGTTTTCGGATTAGTGCTCGGAATTCTAGTGGGACTCGCAATTATCGTGGTGTTTGTCCGCTTGGAGAACCACCGATCCAAGCTCCGTTCCGAGCTCGCCACAACTATAGCTGCTTTTGCTCGAATGACTGTCGAGGATTCTAGAAAGCTCTTACCTTCTGAGTATTACCCTTCTTGGGTCGTCTTCTCCCACAGACAGAAGTTGAGCTCCCAACTCTACCTCTTCTTCCTCTACTTTCTCTCACTTTCATCTGCGGTAGCCACAGCGGGACTAACATGTTTATTTGGATTATTTTGTTTTTCAGTTAAAATGGCTCAATCTTCATCTTGAAAAGATCTGGCCCTATGTTAATGAGGTAACTCCTTTTGGGTTTTGCTTATTTGTTACCAGTATGTTTCTTTTTGTTTCGTTAATTTTGTAAGCTCGGTTTCTAAATATGGTGGTGCAGGCAGCGTCTGAGCTGATAAAGACTTCAGTGGAGCCAATTCTGGAGCAGTATAGACCAATCATATTGTCCTCACTCAAATTTTCCAAGTTCACTCTTGGTACCGTGGCACCGCAATTTACAGGTTAGTTCAATTTATGTAACGCACGAAGGTAGGTGGTTGAATCTTTTAGGTCCTCGGTGTTCGTTTGGAAACTGGATTTTCCTTAATTTTCGCCAAGATATGTTACATTCCTTGTTTGCATGGTTAAGGTTATGGATCCATAACTTGATTTTATCTATTTCTTTTGCTAATTAGAGGCTAGCTTATATTTGATTTTTCATCTTATTTTGGTTACGCCCAACTTAATCATGTAGCTAAGCTAATGCCTACATTCATCTATAATTTATTCGTTCAAATATATTCATGGAGTCCTTTCCTAAGTTTAATCGCATTGATGGCTGTGAGCATGATAGTATGCTTCCCGTGCTATTTTTATGCATTATGTACTGTACAAATGATTGTAGATTGTAATCTTCCAATTTGTTATGGTATTTAATATCATTTAAGGGAGAGCTTTAAATGAACCTTTTATAAAGCATTCATTAATGAGCCGATGTTTTTCGTTAGGGGTTTCTATAATTGAAGATGAAGGTGACAGTGTTACAATGGAGTTGGAAATGCAGTGGGATGGAAATCCAAGTATAATACTTGCTATCAAGACTTTATTTGGTGTAAGCCTACCTGTGCAGGTAATCTACAAATTATTGCCTTCTCGCTTCTACTCACTGGAGGCCTTTTTCAATGTTCAGAAGTTGGTTTCCTTCTTGTAGAATGATAATTTATATTATGTTTTCTTATTATCTATGAATTAATCTATACTTTGATTTTCAGGTGAAAGATATTGGATTCACTGGGGTATTCAGGCTGATTTTCAAGCCTTTGGTTGATGAGTTTCCGTGCTTTGGAGCTGTTTGCTATTCATTGAGAGAAAAGGTGCACTATCTCTTTCTTGAGCCATCTTTGAAAGATTTTGGAAGAGAGGAGTGGTACACATAGCACACAAAAAAAGAGTTCCGCTGATATGAAGATCTACACTAACATTAGCATATTTGTAGGATTATAGATGTTCTGATGATTAGCTATCTGAAAGCAATTAGATAGGCAGGTCCCTCCCCCTCCCTGCCAAATGCATTACACCGCAGATAACCAATAACTCTGATTTAGCGATTGTGTTTTTTTTTTATTTGCAGAAAAATTTAGAGTTTAGGCTTAAAGTTGTGGGTGGCGACATATCTACAATACCTGGGATCTATGATGCAATTGAGGTTTGAGCAAAATCCACAATTCCTTTTCACTTATTTATGATTTCTAATTTCTCATGTGGCATGATCTTTATTTGAGTACTTTATATGATGATTTGGGAATGTGTGTTTTCATACTTAATGTTCTGGTTTGTAGTGAAAATTTGATTTAGGATTGACCTGGTCAATACGGACACTAGAATGTAGAGTTACAGAGTGCAACTTGTACAAATGTGCCCTCAGTGCAAAATGATGCTACAGGGTTCCCCTTAATGTCTGGCAACTCACATGCAGACATCGGGTTTCATGCATCCTTGCTTCTAAATTACATCAAACAATCTGAATGGTGGACGGGTTTGCAAATAATATATATAGTAGTCTTTCAACCCTATGAGACTTAATAGGTATTATTTCATATATGCAGGATTTGGGTTATCATACATAGTTTCCACAAAAATATACAGTAATTTTCCATCACTATAAGAGTTACTAGGTCTTATGAAATCGATGCAGGTTTTGTTTAATCCTACATGCTTTAATTGAGATGTGTAATATTTATACAGGGGATGATACGGGATGCGATTGAGGATTCAATTGCATGGCCTGTTCGCAAAGTTGTTCCCATTTTGCCTGGGGATTATAGGTAAAGTAGAATATAGAGGATTGTCAATTTCTCACCTATCAATCTTGTTAATCTTACCTTGAGAAGAGAGAGGCATGTGAACGCCCTCTAAAATTACAACATTTTTTTTCCTGTTCTAATTAACTTTGTTGGTTAGTTATCTGGAGTTAAAGCCAGTCGGAATGCTAGAGGTGAAACTTGTGCAGGCAAAGGAATTAACAAACAAAGACCTTATTGGAAAGTCAGATCCCTATGCTGTAGTATACATACGACCTTTACAGGACAGAATGAAGAAAAGCAAAACTATTGTAATTTTTCTGCTCTTCTTATATGTCCATGCATTTTAATATATTTCCTTTTGTTTTAATTGGTTTTGAGGGAATTATATGTTTTTCTCTCCCTCTTCAGAACAATGATTTGAATCCGATCTGGAATGAGCACTTTGAATTTATTGTTGAAGATGCATCCACTCAACATCTGGTGGTTAAAGTTTATGATGATGAGGGAGTTCAGTCATCTGAGCTCATTGGATGTGCTCATGTACGACTAAGTGAACTTCAGCCTGGTAAAGTGAAGGATGTGTGGTTGAAGCTGGTTAAAAGCTTGGAAGTCCAAAGAGATAATAAAAACCGCGGGCAGGTCAGAAAACCAATTTCCATCCTTTGGATCAATAAATAGTAGCAATTAAGTTAGAGATTCTGTATGAATCCTACTTTGGATGGCTATTAGGCTTTGAGATTACATTGGATCACATTGTTATTTGCTCCCACCCACGCCGTATTTTCTTTTCTGATATATTCTGAAAGGATATTTCATTGTTTAAGTAGTTTTATCATTTATATTCCTGCTTTAGGTACATTTGGAGCTGTTATATTGTCCATTTGGCATGGAGAATGGCTTTGTCAACCCGTTTACTCCCGACTTCTCAATGACCTCTTTGGAAAAGGTACTTAAAAGTGGGATGAATGGAACAGAAGCTACTGAAAATCAAAAGGAAGCCACACAGAAGAGAAAGGAGGTCATAATTAGAGGTGTACTTTCTGTTACTATAATATCTGCTGAAGACTTGCCACCAGTTGATCTGATAGGAAAAGCTGATCCTTATGTGGTACTGACCTTGAAGAAATCAGAAACAAAAAACAAAACTAGGGTAAGAGTTTGAATGCCCAAAGACTGCAACTACCTTATTTTTCTACGAAGTAATGCTTGCAGTTTCCATTTCTCGTAAAGTTTGCTGCCTTGTTTTAGTTTTTTCCTTTGCTTCCACAGGATGTTTTAACTTAATAGAGGTCCTTTTTCTGGTTTGTTTAATTTTGCTCCAAGATTCTTGTGTGTGGTTATCTGCTTGCACAAATTATAGTTTTTGTTGATACTTAAAATTCTTTTCTTCTCTCAGGTGGTTAATGACAGCTTGAATCCCGTTTGGAATCAAACTTTTGACTTTGTTGTTGAGGATGGATTGCATGACATGCTCATTCTTGAAGTCTGGGACCATGATACTTTTGGGAAGGTACTATTTTTTCAGTTCTTCATTTGTTTTTCTTTTACCGAATTTCTAACTGTGGAATTATATATATATATATATATCAATTTCTTTTCATTGAGGGATTCCTTACGAAATTTTTTTCAACGATCCAAACCATCTTATTTTTAAGTCTAAATTCATAGATTATTCTTGCAAAAAATTAGACAAATCGAAAACCGTTTCGACATACAATTGTGTCCTACAAAATTAATGAACATGATGCTTTAAGAAAGTACTAAAATTTCAATAACTCAGTTGAGTGGGAAATGATATTGGATTCAAGTGATTTTTTGTAGAGATGATCTTTGAATTATTATTTAAAAAATACACGTTTTGGATTAGTGAAATACAATGCAGAGTGGGCCCTACAAGGGTGTCCCTCAAATAAGCTTATTTGAGAGATCTCTCAATGGAAGCTCTGTGTGTGTGTGTGTGTGTGTGTGTGTGTGTGTGTATATATATATAGGGAGCTTCAGTTGAGGGATCCCTCAAATAAGTATATACTCAAATAAGTATGTATATTCAATAAAGAAGTATATCAGTAATTCTAGATAATTTAAGTTTTTGTTTGGAGAATGTGAAAGCAGCAACGTGTGTCTTAAGGTTTTTGTATCGTGCAGGACTACATAGGCAGATGCATCATGACCCTCACTAGGGTTATATTAGAAGGGGAATACAAAGACTCTTTACCGCTAGATGGGGCCAAATCTGGGAAATTGATCGTGCAGCTTAAGTGGATGCCACAACCAATTTACCGTGATTCTTGATGGATCTCCGTTGCATGGCTAATAGTAAATTGGAGATGTATCAGTGCCACCCACTCGTAGATGATGTATCCAAAGAACACAAAGGACACCCTCAAAAAGTTTGTTGTTTCAGAAACCTGGCAAAACCCTCGGATGGTGTACATAGATAGTTGTTTCATAAGCATAACACCTGTCTGTCATAATGTAATCAAGTTATAGAATGTGTACCAATCAGATTCATGGCATAGAGTCACATTGGATTATCGATCTAGTGGCTGGCAGGATTCACCTTTGGCCCCCTTTACCATTCCCATCTTTTTCAGTTGCAATGTGGTTTGTTTGGAGAGGGAGGGGTTCTTATGTATCGATAGGATAGGACCTCCCCTACCTTACTGTTGTTGAAAATGCAAGTTAATAGGATCGGATGCCACATCATGAGCTTTGGTGATTTTCTTTTTCTTGTTTTCGTATTCATTGATTGAATTTAGGTACTGGATTGCCTTATTTACGATGTTTTTGGGGATCCAAGTTTCTGTAAGTAGAAATTTCATTGCATTATGTAATTGTTTCTGCTGCATTTGCATATACTTAAGTGAGTGCGGGGCTTTTCAGTCAGTGTCGTCTGCCATATTCTCCTAATTTCTTCGTGGGACCATCTATCAGGTTGGATAGTGGTGATCCTTCCTTTATAAAGAATTTTTAATGTTCAGCGGAAACAAGCATGTTCGTTGTGATAATGACTTCCTTCAACGTGAAATACGTGCGGGAAGTTGATATGTATAATGTAAGCACCCACCACCACCAAGCTCACGCTATACCATAAAACAAACAGTTGTAGATGAAATTTTATAAAAAAATCAAAAGCCGTAGGATTTTCCTTTGAAGGTATTGCGTCCGAATTAGTGGCAGCTCCATCCAATATCATGAATGAACAAGCAAGCAACCAACAAAATAAGGATCACATTACTTATTTATATGCGTCTCAAGACAAGCCAATCCAATATTCCAACAAACTGCTTATCAATAAATTGCGATCTGCTCCAAACTTTTCCTAACATAATGCTTCTTCAGTTTTCGCCTCCTACGATTCATACCCCTGCGCATTCACCAAAACTCAATGACATTATGCAGATTATAAATTTTTTTATTTTAAAACTATCCTAAATTTCATATCTGGCCGTAGTTTGTGTCACAAGTTCACAACTGTGCAGTGCCAAATCAGCAAGGTGAATTGGGCTGTTGCATACATGCATTCCTTGCTACTTTGGCACCAGAAACATAATTGGTATGACCACTCACCAGTACTGATTGTGTAATACAAATGCGTCAGTTGCAATTTTCTTCCCGTCATCGTTGCGGTTCCAGTGGTAGAGTGCATGTGTCCTGTTTATAATCTCAAGCGTAGAATGTCCATAGGCGGCTTCTCGGAACGCAGAATAATCTGGTTGTGGATCTCTAAACCTACAGAAACCATGGAGCAACTGTTAGTCATCACTGCTTGCACAAAAAGTATTTGATTTCCTTACAGACGAAATGGAGTAACATTGCCGAAATTATAATCATGCATTTCGACTGACCTTTTAACTTATTAACAAAATAAAAATCATAATAAACAATATTAGAACAAGGTTCCTACCTTCCAGCAAGTCCTTCTTGGTTCCCTCCATCTCCAACAGTTATGTATACAGGAGCTGAATTGTCTGGTATGGGGTTCTGGTCACCACTTGTTATGTTGTAGTGTATATTTGAGATTCTATACTGAAAATAAGGGGAAAGAAAAACATGAATCTCACCCTAGCCATGAATGAAATTTTTTGAATGCCAAATCAACTACATCTTATTATATAACAGGAGACAAACAGAAAAAACATAGAAGGTAAAGAACCATACCGATCTCTCATACGCATGGACATGGCCAGCAAAGATTACATCAACTTTGTAATGAACGAACCAACTCTCAAACACTACTCGCATGCTTTCACCTTCCATGTAATGTGCGTCATTACTATTGTAGATTGGAACATGCATAAGGACGATGAGCCAAGGTGTTTTTTCCCTGTCAACCCTTTTCAATTCTTCTTCTAGCCACCTCCATTGAGGTGTGTATTTCACTGATGACAAAGTTATCAACACTGCTGTAAGATATGCAGGCACAAAAGAGAAAAAAGGGTCCATTCCCTTCTAAGAGATATAGAATACTAGCAAGCCTTAATGAGAAAATTGTATAAGATAGAAGAATTTCAGTCTTGCTTTTACTAAAGCAGAAGTACACAATCAAAAAGGGAAGTATGATATTTTCTATAGATTCTATTACTGCACCACATAGAATTATAATTAAAAAGGTAAGTACTCTGTTCACATATTTGCAGCATGTATAGAAATGTATAGTTACCAAATGGAGAATAACTGGACAGTACGATTATATGAGCCGATGCACGTCTGATGGCATACCAAAGAGGATTGCTACTTTTGGAGGCCAAATAAGGAGTAGCATACCGCTGAAGATAGGATTTGAAAGGAGTAACTTCTCCCTAGAATGTGTATAAATTTAATTAATAGTTAGACAAGTAACATGATAGGAGTTTTGGACCACAAGACATCATGCATATCAGTGGAATTTTACAACTTTTGTACGTCATGGAACTCAGACAGTTCCGAAAGATTTTGATACTTTACCAGATAAGGCATGAACTCAATTTCATGATTGCCAGCAGACCAAATCCATGGCTGATATGCAGTACTTTGCTCAACGAATCGACCCCATGTGTCCCACCGTAAACCCACTTCATTATACTGATATCTGTCAGCATAGGAAAGATCTCCAAGGAATAAAACAGCCTGTCCCTTACTCTGCATGTAATGCTCAAGAGTTGATAGAGAGTTAAATGTCTGACCCAAATCACCTGCAACATACAGAATAACTATTTATTAAGGGAAACAACAAAATTCAACATGATTTAATATAAACATTAATAAGAATCGTAGGATACAAAGTATATCAAGCTGTAGTCACAGAATAGCCTAGTTAGTACCCACACCACTCCTCCTACCCAAATGTTGTAACTGATAAAATTAAAAAAAGAAGCACAAGATAGTAAGAGAAAGAACGCAATTGCAGAGCCAAAGGTGGAACCAAGGACAACATGAGCAGAACTCATCTTAGATGTTTGGTTTTAAAACAAAGAAAGAAATGCATTAAAATGGATAAGTAAATTGAAATAAAATTTTATCAATAAGACCCCTTGCAGAGAGAAAACAACTCACCTATGATCCCAAATGTGTAACGAGAATTTGGGTCAATCTTTGGAGGTGTTGTAAACCAAAATTCTCGAGAAGAATCGCCACTCCCAATCTTGTAATAGTACTTCGTGTCATGCTGAAAACAAGAAATAATTTATGTTTTATGGAAAATATAAGCAAGAGAAAAGACAAGTCCAAATATTGCATCCAGAATCTACAACACTGGGGACATATTCACTTGGGAAACTTGGAGACACAATAAGTCGATAAAAACTTCAAGTCTACACAGTTGACTGAGAGGACAATCTCACAGGCTTTGCATGATAGGAGAACCCAGAGAATGTTAATAATCTATTTATTCAATACAAGAAAGCATAGAATGATAATGTATCTGTAACCAAACCACGCCCTATCAATTAATACAATCTCAAAGAAAGATTAAGCTACAAATAAAGTTTCTTTAAATAAAATATATATCATGAGCGAAAACCACAACGCATATGCTACCTACTAGTACATTCACAAAATAATCATAGTTACCTCTAGGCCATCAACAAGACAGTGATGTATGTACCCAGACTTGTATTTGTAGAATGTATAGTTTGTCACAATCCCCTCTGCAGAAAGCTCGTATCCGTTCTCTGATGTACCATATTGCACTTTACTCGTCCCTGGTTCATCAGGGGTTACCCAGGAGATGATAACAGCCTTTCCATCATAGTCACCTTGGGTGATATGCACCTGTAATGAATGAGCGTAAATACACAAGAACATTAGAACTCAAAACAGTAATATCGAGCAAGGAAATTATACCACTTGTGAGTAAAAAACAAGAAGAAAGAAATTGTCCAGAGAAATGAGGAATCATAGTTTCCACATCCTGAATTCTGGAAAACAATATATGATGTGCCTAACTTTCTACAGTAATACCAAACAGTTATTGAGATAGCAGTGAATTCTTACTTGTTGTGGAGCATTATGACCCCTTGGAACAGCAAATACTTTATTATCAAGAGGGATATCCACGGATGGATACTCGGATCGGATGAAAGTGCTTGTGATCCCCGCATTCCCGTTCCTCAAACAGCTCAAGAAGACGAAAGAAGTAAGAGTGAGTTGAAGCAACATGGGGTGCATCCTAATCACTGCTGCCATGATTGTTCATTCAGCAATTACAGTAAAACTAACTGCATCAAAAAGAAGAGGCAGCAATTCAGCCAGAGCGATGAGCATTAAATTTCTGAAATTTTGCAATCTAACAATAATAAAATCGTTCAAAGAAGATGAAGAATGAAACTTTATTCAAACAAAGTACGTAGAGATGGAGAGATAAAAATAGCCGATTTAAGTAAAACTTAGCAAATGCTAATCAATCAAGAATCAACCAATCCCAGTAAGATTTGAATTTGATTACAGCTGAACACAATCACTTCAATCAACATTCCAATCAACCATTAACACAGAACAAAAACAGCTAAAACAATGAAAACGCCGCATAAACAGAGAACAAGTTGAGCTGGAAACAACAAGAAGAAGAAGAATCACTTACCACTGAATGAATCAGAGAATCAGAATTAAATAGATCAAACAAAAATAAAGAAAATTTCAAAGTAAGAGAGGGAGGGAGAGTACCCGAAAATCATAACTCGGTGAGATTTAGGCGAGCACAAGACAGGGAAAGATAAACATATACTTACAATTAGTTGGAATGGAATGAGGGGAAGGCGTAAGTTAGCAGCATCCGATGAGGTGACGTGGCGTAGGTTAAGGCATAGAGGGAAACTATCGTCTGCTGTGTGTTTGCCTCGAGATATTCTTCTGGTTTAGGCACAGCTGGCGAATTTGGAGTGGTCTGTTCTGGTGCGTGATTGATAAGCACACGATCATGTCGTCTGTCATATCATCTTGTTACCTTGATTTGATGAAAGAATGATGTCAGGAGTTTTTGTCTGGTGATGAAGAAGAAAACACAACCTTAAATTATTGAGAATCCGACGAAAGATCCGTCATCACTCATCGGACGACACGGGCTCTCTAACTCAAGTCTCAAACTAACTCCCGTGTGAACCTCAGGCTTACGAGAAGATTAGATTCTTTATTTGGTCTGCATATTCTTCCATGAGATGAGAGTATTTTATGCCATGTTTGGAAATAAATTTTTATTCATGGTAAACTACAGAATTTCAAGGGGAGTAGTACTATATACTGAAGATGTGAATTGATGTCACAGTCTTTCGTTTAAAAATTGCAAAACGTGTTGAAGTGATTAATTTCCTACGGCAGGGGCAGGCAGGCAAATGAATTGCAATTCCACATAATCTTTTTTTTTTTTTGGGTCTGTTGGGGTCATCCACATCAGTTTTGGGCTAAACCTTTCCTCTTGGGCTTCACATTCAAATTTCTAGCCCATGGCCGCCATTTATTGGGCCATTGTTTTGATTGGCACTCTGTTAAGGATCATTTTCTTTCTCTTTTAGAGCTTAGAACGACTTTCACATGATGAGGGTGTTATATATGAACCATAGATGTAGACTTTCATATTAGCCACATAAATCATCTGAATAGTAACTTCACTTAAGTTTAATGAAATGATTATGTAGCTAATATAAATATTCATATGAGTGGTCCATATATGACACACTTATTATAGAATTTAGCATAAATTAGCATCTAGAGTTGTGCGCCTTGCCTGGTTGGGGCAACGTGTATTGTAGTTAATCCCCGAAGACTGGGAAGCTTAGGGCACTACAAATTAGAAAGTAAAGTTTGGGTGACAAGTTGAGTGGAATTTGGACAATTTTGGTGAATTTTGATTACCAAATATAAAAAAGAGTTTGATTTGGGATGTGAACTCAAATTTAAAAGGTCTAAGCTAAGCTAAACACATGTTTATATAAAATAAACTGAAGGACTGATTCATCACATTGGATTTTTGGACCAAAAACTCACATTGGGTAGACTTGGAAGAAAGAAGTCAAAGAGATTCGAATCTCGATGCCTTCAAAGTTCATGCATGGGATGGGATGGGGCTGGCTTAGCCACCTGCCTGGGTGGAGAGGTAGCTCTCAGACATACATACATGTGAAACACATGGAAACTCGCGCTCTCATACTCATACATGCAATAAAAATGATGAAGTCGTGACTCGTGCTCCCCAAAAAAAGGGCAAAATTATTATGACCCGACCCGACCCGACCCGGCTGGGACCCATAAATTATTTTGACAAATTTTCTTTTGTTTACAATTATTCTACTAAGCAAGCAACCAAAAAGAAGGCAACTTGAGTACAGAAATGGGTGTTGGTGACATGTTCATTCAAGAACCAAGAGTTGCCTGATGCTCTTTGGTTCCGAATATGCTCAGACTCTTGACCCCCTAAAAAAGAAAAAGGAACTCAAACTCAAGTTTGGATTTTGTAGTGACTGCGTACGGGTTGGGTTGGGTGGGTGGTCAAGTCCTTTTATGCTTCTTAACTCAAGCTGCGGATTGGATTAAATTTGGAGCCTCGCGTTTATTCACTGTAGAGGCCACCCACTCAAATAAATATACACCACACCACACCGCACCGCAGCAGCAGCAGCAGCAGCCCATAATCATAGAGATCTCTGCTTCCTTCCTAAGTTTCCATAATAATATCAATAGTATGCGTCTGTCCTCATGAGCTTTGGCAGCTTCAAGAAGAACTCAATATGTTATCGGCATTCAGCACACATGCCATGATCATTTGCTCTCTCTCTAGTTTGTTTTACTCTTACCCTGTCAAATAAATATACTTTCAAAGCTTCAGAACCAAGAAAACAAAACAAAAGATCAACTGTACTGCTTGCTAAACAAGTTAATTACTACTAGCCAAGAGTTTTCCTGTGTGCTCAGGCTCAGCCATTGTCTTCGTGCCAAATTATGGACACGTGGACAAACAACAATCCATCATGCCTCCATCACCCCACACAACCACCATGATTTTACAACCGTAACCACCCGAACCCAGACCCACTGACTATACTAATATGTCCTGTCCTACATGGCCTTGTTCTAAGTTCTTCTTCTAAGTTCTACCACATACATATCTATATCAAATAATAAAAATTTACTTCCCATGGCAGACACATGACATCTCTGTGTCTCAATCACCTAAATCCTGATAACTCTCTATTTCTTTCAATTAAAAAGCAAACTAATTTAAATATTTTATCCCCGTGATGATGTTATTGATTGGCTTATAAAAACCACCACAAGCCCAAATTTCAAAGCGTCTCTTTTGCAAGAAAAGAAAGAATGTTTGGCATGTCATATGCATGTAGAGACGAAGACTGGTCGTTGAGTTCAGACAAGAAGAATCCGTTCTCATCAAATTCTAATTGTATCTTTAAAAACGCAATCTTTCTTCAGGAAATCAGGAGGACAGCCTGATCCGGATAGCCATGGAAGACCACCAACCAAAGCAAGGCAGCCCACGAGTTCTCCAGGTCCTGGAAGCTCTAAAACAAGCCTCCCATGAGCTCCAAACCCACCCGAGTCCAGACTCGGCCGAGTCAAACTCGTCCGCCATTAATGCTCTGCTCGAGCTCGAGACCGAGTCTGACAACATCCTCTCCAAAGACCCACATCTCTCTACGCTCTCCCAACACCTCGCAACCCTCAAGAACCTCGTCGAGACCCTCAAGAAATCCAAAGGCCACCACAGCATCAGGTCGTTTTTAACTCGCTGCTGCTCGACTCACTGCCTGTCCCGGCTGGCCGGGTCGATCGAGTCAGAAATCCAAGCGTGGATCGACCGCGAGAGCTTAGAGAGCTTGACGAGAGCTCTGAAAGAGCCACTTCACAATGAAGACGAGTTGGTTAAGCTCCTGAACCAGTTCGAGGACCGAGTTTTGCAGGGTTTCAATCGCGAGTTGCAAGATTTGATTTTGAAGTCCAAAGTTTTCACTCTGCTCGAGTCTGTTCTCTGCGATTCTCACTATTCCAAACGAGTTAGAGAACACTCGGCTTTCGCCATAGCAGCTCTGATTAAGTTCAACAAGGACGTGTTTGTGGGTCAAGTGCTAATGGGTCGAACGATCAAAGCTTTACTAACAATGGCTTCCCCGAATGCGATCAGAGTGCTATGTACCCTGATCAGATTGATAAAGTCTCCGCTTGTTGACGAGATTGAGTTCAATGGGGAAATACCCAAGATCATAAGCTTCTTGAACCGTGAAGACCTGGAAATGAGAGTGATGGCCATGGTCTGTATTCTTGAAATTGGGTATTTTGGGCGCAAGGAGGCCATTGATGCTATGCTTGAGGAGGGGGTGATAAAGAAACTTGTGGAATTGCAGAGATCAGAGCTTGGAGGGGATTTGACGGAAATGGGTTTGGATGAGGATGACAAGGGAAACAGAGAGGTTGCTGGTGGTGGTCGTGGTGGTGGGATTGAGGAGAAGAAGACAAGAAGAGAGAACCACCCGTTTTCTAGCTGTGTGGCGAGATTTGCTGTGCAATTGGAGGTGGGTGAAGGGCTGAGACAGAGAGAGAGGAGGGCATTTAAGCAGCAGATACTAATGAGAGTTAGAGAAGCGTCTATTTCTGATGCTGAGGCAGCCACCATTATTGCTGAGGTTTTGTGGGGGTCTTCGCCTTAAGGTGAAGAAATTGTTATAACTTATAAACTTGGAATGTAATTCAAAAGGAAGAACAAGAGTACAAAGAAATTCAATTTGTTGGTATGTTAGAGTTAAGTAAATCTTATATTATTATTTGTTATTGTTTCAAGTTTGGGATGAAGATGGTAAGCAAGCACAATTTGCTTGTTAAGTTTCTCTGAGATTGGTGGTTTTGGGCTTCTGGGTTTTTACGGCATAGTTGAATGAAGCCTTCAAGGAATCAGGAATCCATTTGTATGCCGGGAATCTTAAGTTGGCATATGCTGCTGGGTTAGAGAATATGACTTGTTTGGCGTTCACGTCACGTGTTTTGAATTGTGAGGAGATGGAGAGATCGAAAGAGCAACACGAAATGAAGGCTTTGGTCGATATTAATGTAATGATGTTTTAATGATCTATAGCGCAGGAGACTATCTTAAAACACGTTAATATGATTGGTTTGGTAGTGTGTAAACAGACGTTAACTGTTCAGACCAAAAAAAAAAAACAGACGTTAACTGTTTGAGTTTGCCAACGGCCAAAAGTTAATATCTTTGCCGGAAAAACAAAAACAATATTTATTTTTGGTCAATCAATAACAATATAAACAACATAGAACATAAACACATTGATTACCTGCTAATTCTATTTGAACTTATTATTTTGTGAATCAACAACAACAAAAAAGACAAACCATCTCCACGATTTTACTGTACACTTATTGCCTCAATTTACTTCAGTACAAAACCTCTTCCAGAAGCTGACTGCTTGACTGATTCTTGGAAGCTGGCCGCTTCACTGGATACCACCAGGTCAGATGAACTCAAAGATTACTGCTAGTTAGGGCCAAAAATGGAGGCAGCTTGTTAGCCTTCTCTGCTAAAGCTCAGCTCCCATGTCGACATCTTAAGCGAGAGGGAAATTCTGGAACAAAGTTTCTGAAATTACCATATCTCCTTTCTTCTACTTTTTGGTTAGCAGGCTCATACCTTTGTTCCAAATCAAGATGGTTTGTGTCCTCTTTAAACAAAAATAGCAACAAAACTTATCCACCCTCCCTTCATTCATGACTTGTACTTTTAACATCCTTCTTTCGTAAAAGGGCCCAGAAAATTGTGAAAGCCGCAGCCATACTAAACTGCAAATGATCTGTGCTACTGGTTTTAATGCAAATCTTACCCATCTTTCGGCTATTTAGATTAGCATTAACTGACACTCTCAAATTTCTGCCCAGCCGGGACTCGGACTGTAAATTTCCACCCAACACCATCTCTTTGTCAAAAGACAGGAGAGTCATTGTCAGGCTGACATTGTCATTGTTCACAGGGTAGTCTCTACCCCTTAACGTAGCTTCAACACCACCACCATATGCCACTTGTTCAGGACCCACCATCTGGCCGGCATTCATTACAAATTTCAATCTCTTCCCAACTGATATGGTGTCTTCAAGCTTGGCACCAATGTAACACTTGTTCCCAAAAGATGTCAATGACACTCCACAGTCAGCAGTGTTGCGCCACAGCTTCCTCAGCTTTGTGTTGCTGTGAAACGTATAGATTGTATCTTTACCAGCAGATTGAACATCAAGACCTACAGTGTATGTAATCCCACTGGGATCTGAGTAAGCTGCAGCACACTCGGATTGAATGCTAAAATCCTGCTTGTCCTTGCTCATCTGCCCTGCGACAGAGGTAAAGATGTTGCTATTTATTTGCATAGCTGTTTCCAAGCTTATTCCATCAAAGCACACATCATTATCCCATCCATGGGGATCAAGAACAGGTCTCATAATCCACTGATCACCCGTAACAAGGCAACGATATCTGTGTGCAGTACAATCAGATCCAAAACTAGGAGGGACCTCCATATCTGGTAATAAAACAGCCGCTTCTTGGGAGGCCTGCTGCCCATCAGAATTATCATTGCTTGCACAATTTTTCTCTTTGGAAAGCTTAATCTCCATCTGCCTACGGTACTCTTCTTTCAACTGTTGCTTTAGATAAAGGGTCTCTCGATAATCCAATTCATCAAGATAGTCTTTTTTCTGCGATTTTGTCAATCTCTCAAACTGGGATTTAGTCAGGATTCGGATTGGAGGTAATTGATCATACTCATCTTCCTCCTGTGTGTCTGAAAGCAAGCTCTCATCAACTTCAATGTCCACTCCACTTGGACTAATGACAGACCGGTGACGTAGAAGAGATGAGAGGAGATGGGGCAGAGAAGGCACGTGGGTGGCACTTGAGGCCCCTAGTTGAATGCTGTCTTCAAATTTCATGAGAGTATTGACATCACCTAGAACTTTTGTACAAAGGCATAGCAACAGAAACTGAGATTTCCAAACCTGTCCATTTGGAAGTATCTTTTCCCCAGTGATGTTTTTCTTACATTGAGGATGATTCTCAACCAAAAGCACTGGGTTTTCAAGTCTGGAGTCAGACACTGCCTGGTGTATATAGTGCTGCACCATATCTGTGTTTTGCCTCACATATGATTCATAGCTGACAGGATACCCATCAGGTCCTTCCGGAAGAGCAGAGGACGAATGAGTCATGACAAGAATGGTGTTAAACCATATTGCAGGCCCAAATACTTCAGTTATTAGCTTCAAAAGGGAGAAGTCATTATAGCTTGCATTGATGAGGTCGAGGCGTTCGAAGAACAAAACAATGTCAGGTGGACATTTTCTAATGAATCTCTTCACGGACAGCATAATCTTCTTATTTCTGCGGAAATTACCCGTACATGATGGCAAAAATCCAGGGGTATCAATGATAGTTACTCGAATCCCATTTATAGTTCCGACAACCTCCCGAATGTGATCTGTGCCAGGTCGAAATGCATTGGTGACGGTTTTCGTTTGATCAAATATAGAATTTATTGTGGCACTCTTGCCAACTCCTGTTTTCCCCAGGACAAGGATTCGAAGAGAGAAATCCATTTCAGGCTGGCCAGATGCCTCTTGTTCTGCAGCCACTGCTCTGGCTCTGTCACTTCTGAGATTAACTCTTTTCAGATCTGACTCCTCTGCTCGTATCAAAGTTGCGAGGTGAATACGATAAAGAACCTTAGCCACCAGAAGATTGTTTTGTGACAGACCAAGCCGTAGGATGAGGCGCAAGAACTTAACTTGAAGATCATCAATTCTTACCAAAGGATCCATCTTTTTCTTATCAGAGCCATTACGTAACTGATCAGAATTTTCAACTACAACATGCTGGCGGGAGGGATTAGACTGATTTTCCTGATCACTACCAACTGAGGGTGATGTATCAGGAAGAATGGGCGGTGTTAGTGAAGTGTTTGAGTGAGCAGCACCTGAAAATAAAAAAACACTGACTACCAAATGAGGGTGAAACTCACAGATCGAAAAATTGGTTTCCACTTTTTAACTTGGAAATTCTTGCAACTGGATCTCAAGTATTTAGTCCTTACAGAATCCCATTGCCTTAGAATGACATAAGGGTTCGTTAAATCACTCTTCAAGAATAACAGCCATAAAGTACAGGAGGGAGAGCAATACCTTGGCCATCAAACCCTTCATGGGAAGGTTCCTCACGAAAGAAACTGTCACTGCCTGACAATGGCCGAGATGAGACCAAAGACATGGATACTAACTGAGAAGAAATCCAATCTTTAAGACTCCCCATCCTTCATGCAAAATATTCCCAACTGAAAATCATATATGTCACTAACAACATTCATTCCATCTTTCTATAAATCTGCCCGGCGCATAAAGAAACAAAATTTAAATTCAAATTGATTATTGAAAAGATTGAGGAAAAGAAAAAAGAAGCCCGTCCTAAGCAATAGCTCAGGCTTCTAGTTCTAGAGCCAAGAGCCTTGCTCTCGCAATTGAAGTAATTACAACACAAGACTGAAACAGTTTCCACTAAAAATATGCATTTCATTGGAATCTTAAGAATTGGTAGGATAAGCTGAGAAAGGAGGAAATGGAGGTTTACCTGGAACACACAAATTTTGAAATGAATTTGTTTTTACTCTGCGCTTCCAAGTCGAAGAAGACGGACCATCAAAGGGGCATGACACAAAATCAAGAATCCGGACAGCTCCGAAGCCCTGAGTCCTTGAATCAGCAAATCATACGTTCGGTGAAAACGAAGCGCGACAAAAGAAAGGGGTGTGAGGATGAGGAAGAAGATGTGATGATGACTATGAGTTAGATAAGACACAGACAGAACCAAAGACAATAAGAAAAAAAACAAAAATTAAAATATTTGGGAGATTTTGCGCCCTAGAGGCGGTTCACAATTTCACATAAATAAAAACATTATACTATATTAATTATGACAAAAAATAATAAATTTTGCCTTTTATTTCGATAATAAGTTTTAGTAAAATGAAAGAATTTCTAATTTTGGAATCTCTCCCACCAACTTTTTTTTTCTGTTTGAAAGGGAGTTTGCCCTTTCTGAGGATTGACGGAGATGACCTTGTTCAGCCGAGGGAAGTGCTGGGCTCGAGCATCTATGTAACCTAATCTAATGGCACTGTCCCATCGGCAACAACCGTTTTTATTGAGTTAAAGTAACAAAGATCTAAGCCCAAACCATAGGAGGCTTCTCAGGTTGGGCCATCATCAATCTTGGGCCAACAAAATGGAGGATGGACATAGTTTTACCCAAAAACTGTTGTGACCCAGTGAAACCGGGTTTTTTTTTTTAATTCTTTTCACAAAGCGATACTTTAGCTACTCTAATGTACGGGAGAGGAGGATCAAACTTTGGTGCAAGGTGGTTGCCAGCAGGCCTAATCCACATTTGCGCCTAGTCTACTACGTTCATTTTGGTTTAGTAAAAGTCGGTTTGAGCCTAGGGGCTTATGCTACTGGAAGAATGAGGATAGGTTCACAACATGGAGATGTGGAGTGGCTGGCAGTCAACTTGATAGGAAAAAAGTCTCAAGGTCCAAATTGGATGCTATGGAATAGAAGAGTAAAAGTTTTCATCTCGCACTGTATCAAAAGCGTTGTCAGGTCAGGTCTATGCGACCATTAAATTCTGAGAGCAGAGTCGAGAAAGTCAGCTAACCGCGTTTCTTGAATTAAACAAACAAAGACACCCCCACTTGTTTGTTTTGGCTTTTCCTGCAGGAACAAGTCACATTTTCTTCCTTTCTTCTAACACCTACCTTAGAAGTCAGAATGTCCAAACATTATAAATAAAATATCATATTCATTCTATCCACTTCCCAATTCATCTTCAAGAAGAAACAAAACCAACCCACAAAACATTCTGATCTTCCCAGAAAAGAAAAGAAAAAGACAATGGCCGAGAAGAACATTCAGGCCTCTCCATCAGCAGCAGCTACTAATGGACAGCACCCCACAAGTGATGAAGAATCTGCCACTTTGCCATCCCAGGAGCTCAAACGCAAGAAGAGAATCAAATTGGCAATCTATATTTCTGCTTTTGTTGTGGTTCAGATCATAGTTATCACCACATTTGCACTCACTGTGATGCGTGTGAAGTCTCCCAAGCTCAGATTGGGCGCCATCAGCGTCCAAACTCTCAACGCTTCCTCTTCAACACCTTCATTTGACATGACCTTCACAACCCAAGTCAGGATAAAGAACACAAATTTTGGTCGCTATAAGTTTGATGCTACCAATGCAAGGTTCATGTACGAAGACAGGGCTGTTGGGCAAGTTAGAATTCCCAAGAGCAAGGCTGGGATGCGTTCGACCAAGAAGATTGATGTGACTGTGAGTTTGAATTCCAAAGAGTTGCCAAGCAGAAGCAGGTACAATCTTGGCAATGAACTCAAAACTGGGGTTTTGAGTCTGAGAAGCGAAGCACGGCTGGCCGGAAAGGTTGAGTTGATGTTTGTGATGAAGAGAAAAAAGTCTGCCAAAATGATATGCACTTTGGAGTTTAATTTGTCAACAAAGAAGATTCAATATTTGCATTGCTACTACTAAGGAAAAGCTTAACAATCAATTTATTTCTTGGATTTTCTCAGGACACACCATTTCTTTCTTGTTAATACTTTTTCTTTGTTCTTTTTTGCATATGATCGAAATAAAAAGTACAGCTGCTCCTAAATTAAGATTTCTATAATGTTAACCCCACCCTGCTTCTTTACAACAGGAAGAAGGCTCTTATTATCATAACATCAAACATTTTTAATTTTAATTTTTAAAAGAATGGCTGGATATTCAACATTTTCCAAAGAGGAAAGAAAGCAAAATGAACAACAACGTAACACTTGGGGTAGTCCTTCTCCATGTACTTCTTGTTGCACTTAAATTTATAGGGCTCCCCTTTCTTGATGGCCTTTTTTTCCAAGTGATACTGCTCAAATAACATTTTGCTTTGACGTGCTGCCAGTTGAACTGATTGGAGAGCTGCCACAGGTCAGGGATTTTTACACAAGAACAACCAGCCCCCAACCATAACTTTCAAAATCTTTTACCGTTCACTGAGAATGGCTCCAACAGTTACGACGTGTATAGATGCCCTCCAGATGCAGTTACTACGGAGCCAACCTCCAGCAGCTTGATTGCATACCAGCATTAATGTCTTTCACTGATTTCCTTCTGTTCTGAAGCAGCTATCAGATTACAACACCACCACAAAGCTTTATGTGGAACCCTTCAAACAAAAGAGACAAATTACAAAATGTTCATCAAAATATTACAGTGCAAATGATTGTTTCCTTAAGCTGCTTTCCATATGAGTGCACATTGGAAATATACATAAAAGGAAATTGGAATAAACAAAGAACAAAAGATACTTAGTTGTACCAACTCAGTATAGTATAGTTGTAATAAAACATTGGATAATACTAGAAATTTAAAATTGGAGATAAGACCCCACCACAAAAGTATCTGTGCAGCTAGCTTCACTAAGAAGCAATTGCAGGAAAGATAAAATGGTTCTGCATTGAACAGATGGGTCCGGAAGTTTGGATTTTCGTATTTTGTAATTTCCAGCAAACAATGAGAACAACAAAAATTTATAACCTTGAACAACAAGATATTACATGCTCAGCTAAACTCCACTTACCGAAAAGGTAGAAGATGATCACAATTAGTTATTCTGAATGTTAAGAGACTCCAAAGAAGGTGTCACTGCAGATTCATTCTGGGATGGTTTTGGCAACAAGGCCTGTTCCTGCATAACTTGAGACTTATCTGAGTTCTCAAAAAGTTGCTTCCGCAGAACACCATGCAAACGCCCAAAAAGCTGCTTCTTTAAAGATTCAAAAGCCATGTCCAACCTCTTTAACTGCTCCATTGCATTAATATTGTACATGAACAAGCCATAGTAAAGATCAAAGCTATCTCCTGCTGTATTCTCCACTAAATTCAACAAAGTCTCGTAACCTTTTGTGTTGATTGGTGTCGATTCCAAACCCAACTTTTCCAAAATCCTTCCCATAGTGTGTGTAATGAATTGTGACCCTGCTGCATGCCTATCATGTTCTGCACAAGACATTTCCACCATTCGGCACCCTTCTCGTGCAAAGATATCAAGAAATTGATCACAGCGTGATACCCTTGATTCATCACTTCCAACCCTGACCTTATCATAAACAAAAGAAAGACCATTCCACCCGTTTTTACCACTCTCTGGTCCAAACATAGGATGCGTACAGAGAATATCAAAATCCAGCGGCAAAGTTTGAAGAAACAGATTTCTTGGAAATTCTTTCACTGAAAGCACATCAACGAATAAAGTATTTCTCTTCAGCCTCTGCAGTGGCAATGACCTCAGAACTTTTTCAGTTGACAGAATAGATGTGCAAAGAAGTATCACTTCTGGATGCTCTTCACACAGATCGTCTGCATCAGAGAAGTAAGAAACGCCTAATTTCTGAGCCACATCTGAGTAGTCTGTTCGAGAAAAGGCTAGAACCGTATGACCTTGGCGTACAATCGTCTTAGCAAGGAACTGACCAAAATTTCCAAAACCAACAATTGCAATCTTTAGCCAAGAGTTGTCATCAGAAATCTGTGCTTTTTGGTCATCTGACCGAACAATTTTTGGTGATCTGAAGGTTATCATTAAAAATTATTTGTTAACAATTCAATTCCAATAACATTAGTCACTAGTGTCAAACAACAAATTCCACTAGTTAAAGAATCCATATATCCATCAACTACACAGCAGATGAAATAGCCATCAAACTAAGAAAAACAAATTCATTTCTACAACAAAAAACATAAAAGAATGAAATTCAAAGCAATGGAAGTTGAAACTGTACCAACCTCAAAGCTTTTGAAGAAGATACCAATGCAGCTCCATTTTGAGCCTGCTTCGCATAATCCTCCTGCAAAGTTATTGCCTTTTCTGCATTGCCAAACAATTGCCTTCTCACAACATCGTGCAAATGCCCAAAAAGCTGTTTCTTCAGGGCCTCAAAAGCCAAGTCCAATCTCTCCAAAGTCTCCAATGCATTCTTATTGTACATAAACAACCCATAATACAAATCAAAGCTATCCCCAGCTGTGTTCTCCACCAAATCCAACAATGTCTCATACCCTTTAGTATTTATGGGCGTCGACTCCAATTTCAACATCCCCAACACTCTCCCGACCGTGTGGGTCATAAACTGCGAACCCGCCGCGTACTTATCATGCTCGGCGCAGCTCATCTCCACCATTCTACACCCTTCTTTCTCAAAAATGTTCAGCAACTCATTGCACCGCGAAATCCTCGATTCTTCGGACCCAATTCGGACCTTTTCGTACACGAAGAAGAGCCCATTCCACCCGTGCTTGGCGCTCTGGGGCCCGAACATCGGGTGGGTGCAGAGGACGTCGAAGTAGCCAGGCAGCAACTTCAGCAACAATGCCTTGGAGAATTCCTTGACGGAAAGCACATCAACGACCAAGGTGTTTCGCCTGAGGCGCTGAAGAGGCAGCGATTTGAGGACGGGCTCGGTGGAGAGGATGGAGGTGCAGAGCAAAATGACTTGTGGGTGTTGTTCGCAGAGATCGTGTGGGTCGGAGAAGAAGGAAACGCCAAGATCCTGCGCCGTTTTGGAGTAGTCGGATCGGGAATGGGCGAGGACGGTGTGGCCTTGGGCGACGAGGGTCTTGGCGAGGAACTGGCCATAGTTGCCGAAGCCGATGATGGCGATCTTGAGCATGTGGGCGTCGTGGAATTGGGCGGCGACTTTGGACTCGTAGTCGTAGAGCTGGGCGGCGTCGAGAGATTGGATTTTCAGAGACTTGGGGCGGAGAGAGCGGGTTCTTATTAGGCTTGGGTTCGAGAAAAGGTTGAAGCTTTGGGGGTTGAGAGAGAGAGATGGAGGGAGAGACGGCTTGGGAGGTGAAGGGTGGAGAGGACAGATAGAGAACATTTTGAGGCGAGTGTAGAACTCAAAACTCTGACGAAGACGTTGAGCTGAGAGGGTCCTGAGTTTTACAGTCGTATTTACCATTTACTGCCCAAATTCCACACATCAAGAAAGATCGAACTTTCGTGTTTACCATTTACCTCACCTTCGTACAAGTTATTTTATTTTTATTTTTCTATTTTGAGAGTTTTAACTAATTTTTTTCTTCTTAGCTGCAATATTGTTATGTATGGACACTAAATTTGAGAAATAATAAGTTGACGAATTATATCATGTAACCGTAGAGTCTATAATTTCTCCAATTCGAGAGTTGGCTTAACATTTGCCCAACCAAAACCAGACGACGGTGTCGTTGAATGAGCACATTACAGAAATAGAATCATCCCAACAGGCCATGCATTAATCTATTAAAAAAATTAAGAAATTGGGCAATAATTAATCATGATTAAAGGAGACTTAGAAGAAAATCCAAACTCTTCACTAAGTTGAACCATTATCATCATCATCATCATCAACATCGTTATAACCAGCTTCATCATAATCACCACCCCCATCCCCCCTAGAAAGGGAAAAATTCTTTCGTCATTTCTACTTTTGGTAACAAATTCAAAAGCTAAACCAGCATGTTCTAAAGACTTATATTTTGCTGTGGAGATTGAAAGAAAGGGATCGTGAGTGTGAAGGGAACGAAGAATCAAACAACAGAGCGGAACTTCCCACTTGTCTGTTGCAACCCTTTTTAAACTTAAATCTTGAAGAGCAGGCCACCGTGCGTAGCGAAGAACGGAGCAAACACAAGCGACTCGACAGCCATGAGCTTGATAAGAATGTTGAGCGATGGCCCAGATGTATCCTTGAGAGGGTCTCCAATGGTGTCACCAATGACAGCTGCTTTGTGGGGATCTGATCCTTTTGGACCAAGCGTCCTTGCATGCTCTGAAGCACCAGCCTATCAAACCAGACAAAATCCAGACCGTGAGTCAAAGCATAAAAGCCAAAATAGGCATTTTTACCAACCATCAAATGCTTACCTCAATGTACTTCTTGGCATTATCCCAAGCACCACCCGTGTTGGATGCAGAGATAGCAATCTGCAAATGTAAATATGTTAGTACAAAATTGTCCCAAACAACCGAATGCATATCAGCAAGTTAGATGCAAGACAAGCTACAAAAGTTATCACATTAGGAAGTTAGCTATACACAAGTGAACATATATAAAGACTCAATCCAGCAACTGCTTCAGCATTTACCTGTACACCAGAGACAAGGGATCCGGCAAGCACCCCGGATAGAGTTTCCACACCAAAAAAGATCCCAACAATGAGGGGTGTAAGCATGACAAGGGCACCAGGGGGAATCATCTCTTTGATGGAGGCGTCCGTCGAAATCTTAACGCATGTAGCATAGTCAGGCTTGGCAGTACCCTCCAAGAGACCTGGGATGGTATTGAATTGCCTGCGCACTTCCTCAACCATCTTTAGAGCTGCACTTCCCACACTCTTCATCGTCATGGCAGAGAACCAATAAGGAAGCATTGCGCCCACTAACAAACCAATAACCACTTTTGGAGACAACACATCAACTGTTGAGATACCAGCACGGCTAACAAAGGCACCAAAGAGAGCAAGGGACACAAGAGCAGCAGACCCAATTGCAAATCCCTATAAACAGAAGCACACATGACTCGGAAGTGACATTTGATTTTTTATGATAACTAGAGGTCTTTGATTCCTCAGACCATAGATGGACAACGTTTTCAGGTGACTAAATGCATTCTATTGGCAAAAGGAGTGTCTTAAAATATCGATTACCCAAAGAACTCGCCAAACCTTAAATCAGAATGTTCCCACAGCCAGAATTTAGACATAGAAAGTATAAAAGCACGCTAGACTTGAGAAAAATTTCAAACCTTTCCAATAGCAGCAGTGGTGTTTCCTGCCGCATCAAGAGCATCAGTTCTCTCTCTGATTCTGTGGCTCATGCCGGCCATCTCAGCAATTCCTCCAGCATTGTCACTGATGGGACCATATGCATCAATGGCCAATCCAGTTGCTATGGTGCTCAGCATTCCAAGGGCAGCTACAGCAATCCCATACATAGCTGCAAAGCTAAAACTAACAAAAATGCTAATTGCAATGGCAAAAATAGGAATAATGACGGATTTGTATCCCAATGCAAGGCCAAAAATGACATTAGTGGCAGCTCCAGTCCGACAAGAATCAGCAACATCTTGCACAGGGCTACAGCATAATATAAAAGCAAGGAGATTAAAAGACATGTAATACTATATATGGGAGAAAGGTAAATGCCAAGAAAACTAGATACCTGTACGCATTACTAGTATAATACTCTGTTACAAAACCAATGATAAGCCCAGCCCACAAACCAACACCAACACATAAGAATAGCTGCCTGCGAAAGTATGTGACAGAAGCAAACCCATTAGGTTTTACAAGATCTGAAACAAACCTGATTTTGGATAGCACTCTAAATTAGAAGGAAATATAAGGAGCCCTTTCGTTCTTGCAAACATGGGCAACCAACTGCCTCCTCATATCAACACAGAGAGCAGACTATAGAAAAAATTTGCACAGATGACATTGAATTATCCCAAAGAAGGAGAGCTTACCAGCTCTTCACAACTTTCTGTGTACCAAAATTGAAGATCGTGAAGGAAGATGGAACAGAAATCCATGTAACAATTGCAATTCCAACAGTCATCAGTACAGTGGAAATGACGAGCTGCCTCTTCAGTGCTGGTTCAATTTCATTTACAGCCTTGATCTCAAAGAAATCTGTTGCACACAGGGTGGTGAGCAAACAAACGAGGATGCCAACGGAACTGACAATGAGAGGATATAGCATTGCAGTTAACTCATGATTGATCCCAAATGAGGAAATGGATGCGACCACAAGGGCAGCACACGATGCCTCAGCGTAGGATCCGAAAAGATCAGATCCCATGCCGGCTATATCCCCAACATTGTCTCCAACATTATCAGCTATCACCTGTACAAATGGGAAACGTAAGTTTTAGAAACATAGAGAAAGCAAATTAATAACTTAAACAACTTTCCAAAGGGTGGTATCCCTTACAGCTGGGTTCCTTGGGTCATCCTCGGGAATATTCCTCTCAACCTTGCCAACAAGATCAGCACCAACATCAGCAGCTTTGGTATAGATGCCTCCACCAACCCTGCCAAAGAGAGCCATGGAAGATCCCCCAAGACCATAACCAGTTATAGCCTCGAAAAGGCCACCCCAGTCATCACCATAGTACAACTTGAAGGCGTTGATAGCAATGTAAAGAACCAATAGACCACTTGAAGCAAGGAGAAAGCCCATAACAGCTCCTGCTCTGAATGCAGTAATAAAAGCCTTCCCAACACCTTTTCTTGCCTCCAATGTTGTTCTGGCATTCGCATAAGTAGCAATCTTCATCCCAAGGAAACCAGAAACCACTGACGTTATAGCACCAAGCAAGAAGGAAATTGTGCTAAAGATGGCAGTGGCAAGAGCTGGTTTGCATATCTTTGTTTGGTCATATGTACATGGACGGCTACTTGTGCTAAATCCCTCCACAGAGCCAAGGAAAACGAAAATCAAGACTGCAAAAGCTACCATGAAACCACCGACGTATTTGTATTCGGTGAAAAGGAATGAGGTTGCTCCTGTATCACACAGGCATCAACAAGTTAGTGAAGTAAACTGGATCCCAATGAATTTTTTTATACATATAAAATACAATACAATCACTATCGAGAATCAATGTTCATATGTAGATAACAATAATATATATTGTTAAAAATAAAGGTGGGTCCTAACAATTGATGTGAAGGTTCCAGAACAAGCCACCATCTTCGATCTGAAAAAGTACAAAATAGTGAATACGTCCATATTTCCAGTGTTCTACCTTACGCTACGATGATCCTAGTATGATATCATCAACTATAAAATAATTGAAGACATAAACACATGAGAGCACACGCACATAAACAAACCAAAAATCACAGAGCCAAATGGAGAAAACAAACGACGTCGGGTCTACCACAGCTAAAGAAAGACGTAGAATACAAGAGAGGTAAAATGGACCTTCAGATATGGCGTTTTGAATTTCGGCGCATTTGAGGACGACGTTGTGGTCATTACCGCCTTCTTCTTCTTCGATGAGGTAATCGTTGTAGCCATTTTTGCCGGGGGCGTTTGAGTTGGCGTCTCGACCAGGCGAGAGCTTGACCTGAGAGACAAACATCCACTGGACCACAGAGAAGGCGATGCCAATGACCGCGCACAGCGGTATCAGAATCTCGGTTCCGAGATCTGGGAGAAGCGTCGCCCCCATGATTTTACCCAACAGAGAAAACAGGGAAGAAAACAGAGGAAACAGAGAGGCTTGGCTTGGAGGTGGGTGTGTTTGTGTGAGAGGGAGAGAGAATATGAACGAGTTTGAGTGTGTAGATGATGAGAGTGGGATTTATATATATAAGTGAGATTGGAGTCTGGGCAAAGCGGGCGTGTGGCATTTTTATTTTTTATATTTGAAAATTTAAATATTGTTAAAATAGAATTTGGTTGCCGATAAAAAATAAATAAAATATTTAGAAAATTGGAAATTAGAGAGATGGTAGAGTGACTGTGGCAGACGCAGATCTATAGGATTGTGTTTAGCTATGGATGGAAGATGTCCGAGTCCGAGGCATTAACTTTTGTCATAGTCAAATCCTTGCCTTTTCTTTTTTCTTTTTTTAGAAAATCTTTCAATCTTACGTCCTGAATTTTCTCCATTAACCTCTTTAAACGAAGTAATGAAGTTTCTGTTTTCTCCCTCGTTATCTTTTAATTAAAAAAACTTTTTAAAAAAAATTCTCTTTTGAAATTAAATCTTAAAAATTCCTTAAATTGTTGATTGCATGAAGTAGTGACATTTGTATACAAAACCCAACATGAAAGTAAGAAACAAGAGTGTAATTTTACAAGGAATCGTGGCCTGAAACAATCACAAAGAAACAAATATAAAGATAAGGGACAAAATAAACTTCACTGGAGTAAAGTGATGCAACAATAATGCCCTAGTTAAAATTTTGCCTAAAAAAAACGTGATACTTGTAAACTTGATACACATTATCCAAAGCGTATATAAGCTTTTTTTAGTTTGCAAAATGCATGACAATAAAACACGTGTCTATTTTTTTTAAAATATTGTTACGAATGTGAATAAAAGTGTTAGCACAATATATTCCTACGTTAGTTGGGAGAAATCTTGTACAGAATATAACTTTTTATTTCATAACAAAAAAGAAAATAAGAACAATAAAGTTTTCATGAAGAGTCCCAACTAAAAAGATATTGTATGACAACTATACCTTCTTTGAGGAGCGAAGGAGAATCTCTGAAAACGACATATCAATATCATTAGCGAATTCCAATCTTATCAATCAACGACGCTTACAATTCACGATCATCCTAAGAACGTGTCGTCGTGTGCACGGATTAGAATATATAAAAATATATTTTAATAAATTTAATATTTCCTTCCATATGAAGTCTTTGAAATTGTTAATAATGAATGCCAAGCAGGTGAAGCTGACATGACATGGAACTTATTCGGATAACTCTTCACCGAACCCATTTTAGGCGCATTCCGTGTCCCAGTCGTCTTTTCCTCTTTACACTTTTTATTATTATTTAAGGTTTTTTTTCTTCGTATTATTCATATTATCGTGTGCTATAGTAGGGCCATTACCATATATACCACCACATAAATAAAATTTGAATTAAAAGCGGAATATATATGATAAAAATTTGTCATTTTAGTCTTGAATACCAAAGACAACCATGGCTGGGTGGTTTTTGTCGTTGCATATCATGCTACATGGATCGATCTGCGAGTAAAATAAAGTTTGTGCAACATTATTAAAATATTGTAAGAAGGAAAGCCGCGCATTTATTTATTTATTTATTTTTAGTTCGGGTTTGGTGAGTGAAGATTGGATGGTGTCATCATGTACGTAGGACCTTATATTTCATGCATGCACACTTTCACTGAGTTGCTTGTCTATTGATTTGAGTTGATAATATTTATCTTTTTAGTATAAGCGATAATCTAAATTATATTTCAATAGAGGAGGATAGCCAAACGAAGATGAAAATAATCATGCTTTTGATTTTTGGAAAGAGCATGACAATTGGCATGTCGTTTTTCTATTTGCCACATCAAATATTCAATTATAAATACTCTCAAGTAATTTAAAAATGGTGGGTCACGTGTTATAGTAATCCATGCAACTTCCAACTTGAAAACAAAAGATAATCCGAAAGGAGGTGAGGTTGTGATATGCAACAATGCAAGTGACCAGTGCTTTGTGGGCACGTGGACCGCATTGACGTAGAGAATTTCTAAAGTACTTTATGTGGAAAGTCGTGTAAGTTCCTCTTTGATCTGTCCAATGCCACGCGGCGCAACAACAATCAGGTGTAAGTCATCGATCCTTTATCTTTTTTAAATTCATTCTTTTAAATTAATTTATTTATTAAAAAGAAAAATAGAAGAAAAAGAGCGGGTAATGCTTGGATCTTTATGCGGGCTGCCATTTTCGTGCCACCTATGATTGCAGTCCACTTCGGCTGATGACCAGGCTTGAGTTTCGAGGCCGACATCAATTTGTTGCTACTTTCTTCCTCTTGGGCCCTTGACAACTAATGAAGTCCCAACATTTTTTATCTTTCCGCTCAACATTTTTTAAGAACTAAACAACAAAATTAAGTGTACAAAAACGAAATGGCATTGGATGGAGGAAGAGCAAATGCATATGGGAAGGACTATAATGGTCATTATGGAGAAATGAGTTTGGGTTGGGTTGGGTCGGGTCGGGTTGCCTTCCAAAAGCTCATGTGCACGTGTTCGCTTTTACCAGTTCATCAGAAACGAACTACCCAAATTTCACGACCAAAAACAAAACACACACACACTCCATCTCTCTGTCTCTGCGTGTGTCTCTGACGGTTTGGTTTCGACTTTCGTTTGCTACATTTCATTTGGTGGCGACCTTACGTTTTTGAGTTTCAGAAAAAGGCACGAGTGTCCGCTGATACCGCAAAGCCACAGATCGAACTAAAACCTCAAAGAATCTTTGTGCTCTCTCTTCATCAAGCTCCGTCAGATTCAATATCCATCTTTGTTTACTATGGGCAAGAGGAAGCTGCCCTCTGATCACAGCCAGACCCACCCTCCCCCTTTCTCTCCTCATCCTTCGGGTACGCTTCTTCTTTTTTTTTCTTTGAAAATGCGCTGAAACCAAAGAAAAATGGAAGAAACCAACCCTTTTCTTGTTCTTGCATCATCATAGCATATTGTACTCATCAATTATGATAAAAACTCCACCTTTGCTCTTCTTTTAATTAAATAAAGCTAAAAGAATTGGGGGCCTTGCTCAATTGAGCCAATTTTGGTGTGGTAAGAGGTGAATGTTACGAATTTTTTCTGGGTTTCTTTGTTACTCTGTCATTTGGGTTAATGGGGTTTCTTTTTTCTTTTAGTTTGCTAGTTGATCAATTACTAAATGAACGGGGCTCTGTGTTGGTTTTGCTTTGTTAGATATTTCAGAAATGCTGAAATCACAATTTTCAATTTGTTTTTTCTGCCAATTCGTCTGGCCTGATTCCAGCTTCAGAACAAAAAATTCTACCAAAAAAATAGTTTCTTGATTATGTTAGAGAACTAAATGATTTTAAGAAGGATACATTGCCATTTTCATTTTATCCAAGTAAGTGAAATGTGAATGATGTTTTCCTTTTCTTTTAAGATCTTGCAGACATCATGCCATGTTCTTCGGGAATGGAATTACTGTCACAAGAGGTTAGCTGTGCTTTTCCTATTCATGTTACCAATATGATTTCTGGTCGACATTGCAACTTTTTTAGTTTACATTTCTTCCTTTTCATGCATTAGGAGAGATAGTTATTTTTAATCTTTAATCTTTTTTTTCTTTCCAGAAACCTTTGCATTCTGTTGATTCTGGCGAACAACTAAAGTCCCTGTCATCTGTACTGGACTCTACGGATAGTTCTTTGAAGCTGCTGAACGCCCACCCTTCTGTTGCACAGCAGCATCATCCAAGCCTTGGCCGATCAACCTTCTTTAAACGCTCACGTCATCACTATGCCCATCAATACTCTCGGCGTAACTCAGGCAATCTTGCTAACACATCAACTTCTCGTGGAAAAGGAGTACCTTTACGTGATGATAAGCTCTCTTATAAGTTGGCTACTCAAAGCAACTCCGAGTCCAGACGTCATTCAGGTTTGATATTTGTTTGTCCTCTTTTTCTTCTTTATCTTCGGTTCAACTTCCAAATACCTCTATGAAGTTCCTTAGTTTTGATGGAAGGTTTCGAGCATTAAGACAATGGAAGCTCTAGAATTATCACAACCAAAATAATGCTACATGGATGAATGGAGCATTTTTAACGAGCTTATGTTTTTGGGATATTGTTTGCTACTTAGAATCATCGGAATTTACTTCTTTTGTGCTCAGTTTCGTTCATTGAGCATGACTTTTCTGGAAGGATTCTGTGATAACTGTTTTTGAGATATATTTTCTAGTTCATTTCTTCTGCAGCTTGACATCTGCAGTATTGTCTTTTTGCTGAATTGACTTTGTTTTTCCAATTTCCCCCCAGAAATTAGGGAAAACCCCTTTCTTCGGCAACCCAGAATTAGGTCTAGTTACTTGACAACCGATGCTGCATCACCTGATCCGGGGAAGATGGTATGTGAGATTTGTGAGAAGCTGTTGAGGCGTAAACCTTTCTTACTTGGTAGCACGCTGTCTTCCACTGAAGTCTCTGTTGTGGCGGTTTTAGGTTGCGGCCATGCTTATCATGCAGATTGTTTGGAGCAGAAAACAAGTTTTGAAGATAGACGCGACCCGCATTGTCCGTTGTGTCTTGGATTGTTGCCCAAGGTTGAAGATTCAAGAGAGCAGGTCTAGGGAAGGTGGTGATTGGATTGGAAGCCTTTGAGGCAGAAACCGTATTTTCTTGGTAGCACCTGTCTTTTGCTGAACTCTCTGGCAACTTTTGTTTGTGGCCATCTTTCATGGCAGACTTGGGGCACAATACAAGTTGGAAGAAAGATGCAACCCACCTCGTCCTTTGTGTGGGCCTGAGGTTCAAGGTTCGAGAAGGCAGGAATAGTTTGCAAAGTCTGCAACTTTACTCCATTAATAGCCTAGTACTGACTATCTAGATGAGAGGTCCACAGTAAGAAATATTGGAAGCTTTTGAGCAGACTAACTATGACAGACAAAAACTCTCCGTTTGATACTGTTAATGTAGTTTGTATGAAGTAGTTAATGACTGTTTTTTATGCCTGGCAGTTAGGGGAAGCAACTTTGTGGTCGTGTAATTTTCTAATGCTAGTTCATGTCATTTTCTGGATGCCATTAATAATATAATTTGTACATTCGTCTTACATGGATTTGTCTTTGAATTTTCTGCAGTATACCAGTTATCGAAAATTTGCATGGACACGAGACTGCTCCTTTCCTGTTACGAATTTCTTAAATCTTCAACTTAATTTAATGGGATATTGACCTCCCAAGATGTGTCTTTTTCTTGAAAAAATAAAATCAAGGTTTAGACTTTCTCAAAAGCAAAACAAACAAATTGCCCAACGCTGGGGAAGAGACAGATGCGCCTCTACAGGCCCCAGCAATGGCCGGAGCAGAGACCTCTAGCCTTGTCCAAACACGATTGCAATCCTTTCCATCCTTCGCAAGATTGCCAAGTATATGTCCTGTAACATTATTCTCACTACTATACATTTCACGAACTTGACAATTCAAAGTTTCAAAAGCCGTATATGACTATAAAATTATAGGCTAATTGAAGACAAAAGAACTCAACCACAAATCTAAAAGAGTTTGGGAAACTGTTGATCACCACTCTGCGCATTCATAATAAACAAGCATCCAAGTTATTATGATCAAAGATTACATGGAGGATGCACAGAACAATACATACACAAGAGGACCTATGGGGTTGGGGTGGTGGGTGCCTTGCACGTTGCTTTGTTATGCCCAACTTCCTTGCACCTAGCGCAAGTAACTGTCCTTGTGATCACACCCTTTGTTCTGGTCTGCTTTTTCTTTTCTTGGTTTTGTGGCTTGGAGATGAATGGAGGAAGTACATGCAGAGTCTCTAAGTCAATTGTGTCACTATCCAAGGGCTGGAAAGGGGCCGATGGGTTTATAGATTCAGAATACGTCAACTGAAAGTTGTTGGCTTTAAAGTATCTTGAACAATAATCATATACATTCCTACCAGTGCAGTTAAAGACGGCAATAGCATGACAGCAGGGTAGGCCGGTTGCTTTCCATTTCAGACAACTACAGTCCCATTTATCAATATCCACAACATTGATGGAGTCCTTGTGAACCTCAAAAAGAGTATCAGATGAAAATAAGACTTTAAGACCATATGCTTGAAGAGTTTCTTGTCGCAACTTTTCCTCCTTGGATGGAGTGAGCTTTGTAGGCCATGTACTTGAATCTGTTCGACGAGTGTTTATCAACTCCATCAGCTTACAACTTAGCACTTCGATCTTCCGTGCTATGGGTAACTCCCGTACTTCCTCTATCCACTTGATGTATGTCTCTGCAACGTCGGATGTCACATGGTTATAGTGCTCACCTTTAAATAGTGCATTTGTCCAACATTCTGGTTCAATTTGCAGGACCCAGTCATAAGCCTGTGAAGAAACCCGTCTAATTTGATCAGTACTTGTTTTAAAACCATCAAGTCGGACTGCATGGGCTGCAGCCACAAAATTGATTGGCAACGAACCCTTCCCATCTCCATGGAATGGACCCTTCAAGTTTTTCTTAAAGCTTTCCAGAAGGCGGTGCAACGAGTAGCCATGGTGGGCATTCTCAAATACCTCAATCACTGATTTCTTAAGTCCCTTCTCTCTATCAGAGACAAAAGTTAAGGATTGTGCGGTTGAAACCAATGACCTTAACTGCTCCAAAAACCAACGCCAATTATCATCATTCTCAACGTCTACTATAGCAAATGCAACTGGGAAAACACCGTCATCTCCATCCAAAGCTGTAGCGGCAAAAAAAGTCTCATGGTATTTTGATTTTAAAGATGTAGCATCAAGGAAAATAATGGGGCGACAACCATTCTGAAAACCATGTATTGAAGCATGAAAGCAAACAAAGAGACGTTGAAATCTCCTATCATCACCAGTGAAAAGCGTAATATTACTACCAGGATTTGCCTCTGCCATCTTCTCACAAAACCTAGGTAACTGGTTATATGCCTCTCTATATGAACCCAGAAGTAGCTCCCTAGCATCTTCAATTCCACGCCATACTTGAGTATAGTTCACCGCAATCCCAAAATCCTGAAGAATGCCATTGGCAAGTTCTTTTGGCTTGAGATGTGGGCTGTCTAGTAATCTGTCTTTTATGATGCTAACCAACCAACTTTTAGTCGGATGATAAGATTTCCAGAACTCCCTTCCACATGTATGTATTTTGTTCATATTCTTTATCCTAAACCTTTGAACAGATGAGTCCCATGATGCGTGAATTCTCCAGGAACAGCCTTCAGCTATACATCTGCCACTTGCACGGTTAGTATCATTCTTTTTTAACCTATACATAAAACGATGGGCAATGGCATATTTTTGCAGTGCATCACGAAATTCTTTAACACTTTTGAATTCCTGTCCAACCCCAGTGATACCATGTTTCCATAATGTGACTAGTTTTTCAGGTGGAACATCATTTGATTGCCCTAGAGTATCCTGTATAGGGTCACTGCTAGTACTACTATCTTTACAGGGAAGGGTATCTTGTTTCTGACCCACATCATCAGCTTCTGCAGTAGTGTTGTGGCTAAGAATATTCTTCTTCCGGGGCATAACTTTTCTTTTCTCCCCAACATGGTCAGTGACAGCAACAATGGTAGGACCATCAGCACCAATTTTCCAAGCAGCAGTACGTCTTCGCTTCTTAACAGTATCAGCAGGGGTAGCGTTCATATCAAATTCATTCGAGCTGTGGACATTTGCATCAGCAGTAACAGTAACGGGATCAGATGGAATGGAACTAGGAGCATCCACTCCGCTTGGGCTTTGGGTTCTTTCTTCGACAGACATGACAGAGCCCGTTTGTTTTGATAGAGGAAGAGGGGCAGGGACAACCGGGATAGCATTGGCAGCTGCAGAACCCACTGCAGATTTAACATCAGTTGGTGCTGTAAGAGGACTAGAGTGTAAAGCAGCAACTGAAGTAGTGGAGGCAGCAACAGGGGTCACAGATTCAGCCAGTTTTATCCCACATGCCCTGCAAGTGATAATTTAAACTATCAATGCAAGAACAACTTGCAAAAGTGCTGCAATCACCAGTCAATATTCTTCAGTTACAGTATAGGGGGGACTGTCCTCATTTCCTTAAAAGCCAGGAAATCATGATAGCAAGGCCATTTTGCTTTTTTTGAAATGACAACAGTATACCTCTTTACCTGAACTGGATTTAGCAGTAATTTCAGGAAAGTAGATGCAACTAGACAAAACAAAAGAAATACCTTCTTTGTGTGCTTAAGGCTTCACTGTCAAAACCTGCTTTCCCCATGACAAAAACATCAGCAGTTACTGATTTCCCATGGAACTCATACATCCTTTTTAGGTCCTTATCATTGGACAAAGTGATAAGAGTTCGCGTATTTCCTGGGAGAAAATACTTCATGGATATAGATTTATATTCTAAATTCAACATTTCAGCCAATTTAAACTTGAGATCATCAAATACGGTTTCAAGATTGATATCTACTGCATGTGCCTCTCCACCCGTATATGACATGGATCCATCATCCTTTATGACGAATTCACCACCAGACTGGCAGATTAAGATAAGCTTTGTCCTCGCCATCACAAGGAACTTCAAACATTCGAATAAAAGCAATTAAAAACCAGTATACAATTATGCTAAGTTGCCAAAACTATCTACTAAATTTACTACAATCTAATAAGATGTACCTAAAAGCCATTTCAAAATGCATTCATAAAGCTGGTGCAGAAAAAGATTTCACCATTATAGCACTAGTTCATCGTGTGTGTGCTTGACTTTAGACAACTTATAGCTACTTTCTACAGCTTGTGTGCATATATATCGAAAAAACCATAAAAAGATTTCACCATTATAGCACTAGCTCATCGTGTGTGTGCTTGAATGTAGACAACTTAGCTACTTTCTACAGCTTGTGTGCACATACATCGAAAAACCATCGCCCCAAAGAACCTGCTTTGCGAACATATGCAGGCATGAAAACAATGCAAAAACCCAGTTCAAAACAATAATGGAAGCAGCACATCAGCATTCACATAAAACTTACTGATAAAAAAAATTGACATAAAATATTACAGTATCGAAATGATCATAAAAGAGCATGTGGGTTATCATCTGAGCCCAACTTTACATCAACACGATGCCAAAATCAGTGTATTTCACGCCGAGTCAACGGAAAACAGTTTAAAGAAAGTCAACAAATGCAACCCCGATAATCATTTAATGAGCAATCTAACTTAAGTAAGCCCCTTTTTCCCGGAAACCCTGAATTCTAAGTCCAAGATCATGACTTTAAACCAAAAACCCACAACCAAGATTATAAGCACACTAACATTTGTTGAATTGATTACTAATTTACTAGTGCATGAAATTTATTTGTTACCAACTTGCCAGAAACACAGTATTGGGAGAAAGAATTTAACTCTTAGCTTTGAGGAGAGAGAAGAAAGAGCTTACCAGAAGAGGAGGTGCAGGGTGTGATGAAAACCCTAAATTTTGGGGCCTTCTGGAAATAATGATAAAACAGGTGGATGATTAAAGACTTGGAGCATAGAAAGGGAAGGGTGTGATAGAAATGGAAGTAAAAAACTGGGCCTGAGAAATGTCAAAGGAGGCTCCTTTGGGATTTAGGGGAATTTGGTTGAAAGGGGCCAAAGGGAAATGCGCTTGGATGTAGCACCAGTGCAAGCTTGGAAGCTGGGACCATGATTCTATGCTATCCACGTGGCCTTAATAAACCATCATTTCTCACTACCAAAAAAGAAAAACGAAAATAAGAAAAACAAAAAAAGAAAAGGAGTCTAGTCAAGTAGGAATGAAAAAAGGACCTTAGATTTTAGGTTTGAACTTCTATATAGGGGTGGGTATGGTCTGAATTGGATTGATTTTATTTTAAAATCGTGGCTAAATCAATTACAATATAATAATTTGGATTTGTTCGATTTTAACAGAAGTCAAAAAGAAAACCAAACTAAACCAATTAAAGACGGTTTGAGCCTAAGTCCAATTCTTTTTCATTTTGCATTTTTTTCAACATTGTTAGCTAAGTGCAAAAAACAAATTCACAACTTGCTCTATACTTAACTCATTTTCTAGAATACCAAACCATCTTAAA